GATATGAAAAAACATTTATTTTTATTTTTATCACAACACATAAAACTTTCTATGATTTAGTACATTTTTTCATATATATGAAATGTTCATTCCTGAACATGATTTTAGTTAAGATGTAAAAATAATTTCTATCCCTTTACATTTATTAAAATAAATAGAAAAACTACATAAGGTTGTTACAAAAAATGTAATGTGTTCAGGTATCCACTACATTAATCTATCAACATAAAGAGATTAGAGGTATGCATTGAATTAGAATACAGTTAATTTAATTAAATAATTGGCTCGAAATTGAAAAGTAACTAATTGTTCAAAAATAACACGCAAATATGAAGAATTGTATCATATTATATAATTTACGGAAGGATGTTGAATGTGACAAATGTATTGACAATCGATCCCATAAAAAATGCAAGTTATACATTTTATGAGCTAAGAGCATTGAATTTAAAGAGAATTATGGATCAAATGTATTGAATAAATCTGAAGTCTATCATCAATAAATGTACAAGATGTATTTTATACTATTGTGTAATATATATTAAGTAACTGGAATTTTTAAATGATTATTAAAGATTCATGAATGCTATACATTTAAGATCAATCATTGAATGATGCAGCATGATACAAATTTATTAGTTGCAAATTGTTTGATGATCATAGTTCAGATATTTTTCAAAATGTGTTAAATGTTGATAGGATTATATTTTTGGATATTTTGTCAATTAAAATTTTAAGCAGAAATGATGTAAATTTTCATTTTTGCTCTATATACTTGGCCCCTTATTTTTCATGAATTAAACCTGTATTATATGTTCATTTACAAGATCTCATGTTCTGCATTTTAAAGAAAATGCACAATACTTCTTAGCGTCATAGTTTCATATGTTGAACGCAGAGCATAAATTTTAAAGCATATATTGATTGATTTTTTACTGGAAAAGTTAACTTTTTTTTCTTTTTCATGTAAAAAATTAAGTCATATAGGTAAAATATGTATGTTCAAATATTTTCCATGTCTTCAATTTTTAGATAAGCAAAGCTCTTGTAAGATTGTCTTTGATACTTTTAAAAAATTGCATCAACATATTAACATTTTTTTAATATGATCCAATTTTAATCAATTGGAACAATTAAACATGAAATAAAAACAGTATTAAACTTTTGTATACAACTGATATTGATCAGCATGCGTTATTCATCAATTCTTTTACTGATATAGATATATATATATATAAACTAATTTTTGATTTTTTATAAGAATATAATTTGTATCTTTTGTTTGAATATAATTTTAATTCAATATTAAATATAAATTTGCTTAAATATTTTTTTTAGTATTTGGATAAATGTGATTTAAGGTATGAATTATGTGAATTTATAAATTATTTTTAAAAATTAGTTTTCTCACATAAAAACTTTAACCTTGAGAAATAATAATTTATAAATTATAATTCTTCTATCTAAGTTTCAATATAAATTTTAATTTTTAAGTTATTTTTCCATTTATCATGTTTATAAAATTGAATAAATAACATAATTTAAAAAATTGAAAACTTCTTTTATAGCTTTATTTTTTTTGTTAAATAATATTTTTTTAATCATGAAAATCTTTAGAATAAGCCAAAGATTATTTTCAGCGTTTATGTTGACTCTGTTTTATATATAATAATGAAGTAATAATTTAATTTTAAAAATTATCTTCATACCATAAGTATCTTGATTATTATTATTTAAGCTTTTATTTTGCTTAATTTTTTCAATAATTTTTTATTTATGGTTTTTCAAGATTGAATTAATTATTTTTTATTTAATATTATTTGATTAATCTTAAAAAATTATTTAAAACCTTTGTAACGTTTAATTATTAATAATCATTTTCAATTTTCTATATACTGAATTATTTTTATATATTGTTTAAATAGTACACAAATTTGACATGGTATTTTTGTCAAATTCGTGTAGTTGGAAATATAAGATTTAAAAGCAATTTTCTTTGGTTTTACTCTTCAGTTATCAACTCTTTGTTTTGGTTTACATTGTTTATAGATTTGTATATCACATATTGAATTCAAACTCTTCATATCAAGAAGTACAGTTTGATGATCTTAGGATTTTTCTAATTCTAATATCATTTTTTTTAAAGGATGAGTTTTAGGTTAAATAATTTGTTTAAATATGAAGATTAAGTAAGTTGATTAGTTTTTTTCCTTAATTTTTGCATACATTCTGAAACAATACAGAAAAAATTTGTTCAGCCTGGAGTATTTAGATGAAATGTTGACAGGAAGAGTTTTGAAAGCTTCGTTGAGATTAAAATGTTTACTCAAACTCAAATAACATTTATGTTTGAAATGAACAATAAAGATTTGAAATTTACTTGGATAAATAGGCTAGATGTTGGATTTGATCTTTTTCAAATTATAAATATAGACAATGTTTTCAAATTGTATTTGATGAAATGCAAATCAGAGTGTTGTAGCTTATTTGTTCAAGTGCAATGGATTGCAATGAATTCTTGTTATTACAATTTTAAAATTTAAGTTGTGAAGAATTATTCATTTGAAGTTTGACAAGTTTGTAATCTCTTTTTATAAATTGATTTATCAAATGAAAGATAAAATTTTCTAAAAAATATGGAAAATAAGTAAATATATTACAAAAAAATTTATGATTTATTATTAAATTTTGAATAATAACTAAAACTTTCAGTATTTGAGATAATCTGCTCTTTCAGCTTTGTATGATATATATATATATATATATATATTTATATACACTGTAAGAACCAATTTGAAGTTACATATTTGCTGATATTGAATGATGTACATTTAGTTTGAGATAATATGATAAATTTAATTTTTTGATTCACATTTGATTCTAATGAAAGCAATCGAAAATTTTTGATTTATGTATCTGTTAGGATGCTAATTTTGTATGTTTGTATCATTTAGATTATGTATAGATTTAAAAGTAAAATATTGACGAGCCTGTGCAAAAAACATAAAATGTCATGACACAAAAATTGTAGTTCTTTATAAAAAAAATTGTGAACTATTAATAAGTTACATTTTTTGACTGTTTTACAAAGAATTATGACTAGTGCTATGCATAGCAAAGCATTGAAAATTGAAAGTGTGGCATCTGTTATTTATATTATCTAAAAAATGTTTGTTTTGCATGATTCATACAGTGGAGATGATGATGAATACAATACCATTCTGATACCATAGGAGCATAATGTTTAATGAATTTTGGTTTCATCTTTACATGGTTTAATTTTGATCTTTCAAAATCAACTATTGTCAAAGTGTGAACATCACAAGTTTTAGAGCATAAAAAAATTTCATTCGTGATTTAGAGTTGTGACTTTTATGTTAGATGATATTCTTGATCACAAATTCATTTTTTGAACAAATTTATAATTTGTTGTATGGACTTTATAATCTCTAAATTTGAAATCATCTCGTGGTGAAATGATGGAAAATGAAATGTCACAACTAATGCTTGAAGTTGCTGATGTTATTTCATAAGAATATTTTCCTTTATGATTTTGGTTAAATAAATAAATAAATATTCATGTTGTCACTGCATGTTGAGTTTTTAATTTTTGAAAAGTTGTAAGAATAGAGTTGAGAATTAGATTTGTGTAAAAGTTGTATGGATTATATTATTTGAACTCCTTGTGAAGATATGTTACACATTGATGATGAAACGTACTAAATATGAACAGCATAGTAAATGTAAAGAGTTTCAGTAAATAATGATTGTCAAAATCCAAGATCTTATAAATATAACAAGTTTACCATCCGTTATCATAAATTGGAACTATAGGATGACAGCTATGAGTGCTAAAAACGAAATTCAGGCATTGAATACTCAGAGTGAAAATTTTGGCTGGGACGAGCTTTTTTGGAGATACAATCTTGGCCTGTGGACAACTGCGTTGCTGCACGTGTCCACACGGCGTCGAACCAAAGCGCGGTCGCGATGAAAGAAACAATGGCCGAGTTCGTTGGCAATAACTCAGTCGCAAATCCGCATGCAACAAACGCTCCTACAAGAGCATTCAGTCTTACGAGAACGGCCGCGGTAAAAGATGCTCCGGAAAGTACAATAGGGTACGAAAGAGGGAAAAATAATTGACGGATCGAGTTAGGATCGAAGCAAGCAAATCAAGAGCTGGATCGCAAAATAAGCATGCCGGCGTGTGCCGTGACAGACATTCCGACGCGCGTCGTGTGGCGACACGTGCGGATGGTGTGCCGAGCCCATGGCTGCGGTCCGGAGAAAGGACCGGCGGATAACACGACGCTAATGCAACCCGGGCTCACCTAATTACGCACCACACAGGCTGTGAGCGAGCGCTAATGCAGGGCTCCCAGTTCCATGGCAACTCGCGGACAAAAGCTGGGAACCATCGAATCTCGCCCGGTCGACGTTCACCGACCAGCTTCGGCGGCAAGCAAGCAGCGGTCGCGGCGCCTCCTCCCCTGCAACGCTGCTCCGCTCCTCTCGTCTCGTCTCTCTCGCGATCGCTTTCCACATCGCATCCGATGATCCGACATTCTCCAACCAAGCGCGCGCTGCAGTGGACGCCCGGTGTAGTGTAGCTGCCGGGCCAATGATCCCGATCCGGATCCCGACCCCGACCCCGACCCATGACATGCCATGCCCTGCAGTGCACGATGCGCAGATCGGACGGGGGGGATGATATATACGAGCGGAATTCGCAGTCCGGGCCAGTCCGGTCGAGTCCGGGACGAGGCTCGAGAGGTCGATAAGCCTCGAAGAAGGGAAGGCTCGACGAAGTTTAGGATCGCTCTCGCACGCCGCAGCCGGTGCGGTCACCGACACGTGGCCGGGTGGCCTCTGTCTGAATGATTGATCGACTGCTCGCATGAGTCGGAGTCGTCGTCGTCGTCGATGGACGAGGGCCGCGCCCCAGCAGTAGCTCTTGTAGCGCAGGGGACGACGAGAGGGTGAAGGTGCAGGAAGGACGGAAGTCGGGCAAGGGGCGGGGAGGGGCGGGGCAGGGAAGGGGAGGGGAAGGGAGGAGGAGGTGAATGGTGGCGCTGGTGGTTGTGGGAGGCTGGTGCAGGGACGAGAAAATCTGCAGGGTGTTGGACGTGGAGGTGGGAATTGGAGTGGGGGCGGAGCGAGGGAAGCGAGCGAGCAAGCGACGAGGAGGAGGAGGAGGAGGAGTGGCGCAGAGAAGCGGGAATGTGATGGAAGTGGGAGCGGTGAGGAATGTGGCAGAGATGTAGGATGAGAGGGCCGGCCTGTAGATAGGCGACGAGGGCTATGGCGAGCTCGGTGGTCATTTATCACCCGTCCCATACAGCCATGCCCCAGATTGGAGTGCAGGGGACCTCGCGCGGTTCGTCGTCGCCTCTCGTAGAGTTCTTATTTTTTCACAAGGCGATCCGCGCGGAGTTGGCTAGGCTCCATGAAGATGCATTGGCGGTGGAGCAGGGCAGTGAGACGGAAATTAGGGCACTCTTGGATCGTTACCACTTTCTGCGGGCCATCTACAAGCACCACAGCCGGGCGGAAGATGAGGTAAGGCGCGCTTTTCTCCCTGCCTCCGTGTACATGTTTGGCATTTCCCGGACCGAGGTGGATTGTATGGTTCTTCGAATTCATCAGTAGAGATTTTCACGTGCCGTTGATCAATTTGATGGTCCTATGCTATGCACGATTCAGTTCTTTGGACTGTGTCGATAACATTACGGAATTGAACCTCGGAATTTCAAACATATTCGCAAGACGACAGTCGGGCGTGGGAACCGAGAAAATGGTTTGCTGCTCCCGCAGAGATCCGAGTCGTTGTGTTCCTGACGAAGGCGATTGGTCAAGGTTAAAAATATGGGCGCTCTATTACAGATTGTTCCTCTTATCACCCTTTGGGGAGATTGTCGTTGACAATGTGAGGATTGGAAACATGCCTTCGCGAGAGAAGGAAGTGGATTGCTGTTGGAAGTGAACAAATTTTACCGTTGAGCCACACCCCGTAGGAAAACACGGGGTTTGACAGTATGAAATTTCCATCGAGTACGAAAGACTGGCCGTCTTAATATGATTTGTTGGATTGTAGTAATTCATATGTCCCTCCCGAGTATCTATCTTATGATAAAAGTCTCTCGGTAGATGGCTCTTCACATGTTAAGTGGTCTCAGCCATGAGGTTCTCCATATCTGTGTGCGACCTGAGCTTCTTGATGATTTGCAGGTTATATTCCCAGCACTCGATCTCCGGGTTAAGAACGTCGCAAATGCCTACTCCCTGGAACATCAAACGGAGAGTCATCTTTTCGATCAAATGTTTTTGCTGCTTACGGCCGCTCTTAAGGAGAAGGGAAGCGCACCAATGGAGCTGAGGCGAGAGCTTATCTGCTGTACGGAAGCGATTCAAACCACGCTCTGTCAACATCTGTCGAAAGAGGAGGAACAGGTACTCCCACACGATTCATGTGATTTTTCGTGCCGCGGCTCTTCTAACAGAGAACTGAGCATCCTTCTTGTCTTCCGTTCACGAACTTTTATGAATGAATATCAAATTCATACTATTTGTCGAAGAAGTTTTGCCAGAGCCTTTGGGTAGAGATATTGCGGATTGAACTGGGAATGTTCTTCTAACGGGGTTTGGAGCGGATTGAAGAGATTTTTTGTTGCGGCATGTTCTAATCACTCTGAGTTGGTACACACAGCAGTACAACAAAGAGTGATGAATCGGCTCTACTTGACATTCCTTTGAATTTATACTTAAAACTGATGAGAACAACTAAGATTTCTGAGGGGAAACAATCAGTTCTGTTAGATTGGAGTAGGGGCTTAGGAGCTAGGGCTGGAGGTTGTGATTATTTCTAGACATTTTTTCTGTCATAAGTGCGGGTGAGATTCTTTCCTGTGTGAGTTGGAATCCCATCCACTTGAATTGGTCTTTCACTGGTCCACGGTTTTCGGGAAACGTATTTAGTTCTCCCAACGGGCTTTTGTTCGGTTTGGAATGAGATTGGTCTACGGAGTTTTATCTTCATCTGCGTCCTGATAGGCTACCAGGAGGCATGTCATGAAATCATGTTGATGCGTAACTTTGTGTCAGTTAGACCGTGTGGATTGAGTAGCTACTTCTATGTCTGTTGTCTATTACATCCATGAGAACCTGGAGATTGTCATCAATACCATGGTTCTCGTTCCTCTGTTTACAAATCTGATCTATCTTCAGAACTCCAGATTGATAATAGACCTAAATACTCATCAACTACAAAGGAAGTTGTGTGTGTCCCGGTATCACCTAGTGAAGGTTGGGAATACGTAACAGAACGCAAGCATGTGCATAAGAATGACAGCGATCTCAAAAAACCAAGAGAGCGCTGTGCGCTTCAAGATCGTACCATTGGCATGGAATTCTGATACAACTTCAAATGCGGAAATAGCAAGTGAAAATTTACAGGATAAATTTTGTTATAGCTTTAGATCGGATAGTCGGTGTAGTCAGGATTGGACGCTTCAATTCGATTCTATCTATACTGCTAACCATTGGCATTGTTGTTTATATGAAGTTTATGTGTCACGGTAACCCGTTATATCCTCCGTGCTGGCCAGTCGCATGACCACAACGTGCACTTGTTTACACGTATCCAACGCCAGTATATCTGCTCATGACAGTAGTACCCTTTGCTGGTTAATTTTTTGTGGCTCTCCCTTAGTATGCGAAGGATAACCTCGAGACTCTAAATTTGGACCTCAAGCCCAGCTCGTTCCAGGTGTAGGTTATGCATCAATATCGTCATGTTGTACATCCTTTCATGAATTTGCGGTATACATACACGTTTTGCTTTGGGTTTTTGTCCTGCGAGTTCTTCACTAATTTCACGGCATACCATTCCTCAATCGAATCTAGTATTCGATGGGTACTTGTATTCTAAGTCTTTAATTCGTGTTCTGATTACTGCCCTTTTAGAAGACCTACCTCAGTGACTTAATCAATCAATTGGCGCATGTCGTGCTTTTATTACACTTAGAAGCATAGGTTTTTTTGGACTCATTACGTAATTTGGGGCTTTCAAGGTCAGCCTGAATGACACATTTCATACACTCGTGGACATTTGCGTTCTCCTTCGTAGCTGAAGAGAAAATGGAGTACATTACGTTGTCTGTTTTGTAATAATCGTCCGGTTTGATGTGGCATTTCGCCCGGGACGATTCGCAGTCGAGTGATAATCTGGTTAAAGAAACAATTTCCGTTAGACTCAAATAACACGTCTAGATGTTTGTCAAATACCCCATGTTGATTACTTGTTTTCTTTTATGTTGATGTATTTCCTTTCTCTTCTTACACATTTCTGTTGTCGGGCCGTAGAAGGAGGCATAAGGGTAGATTAGTGAGACCACTCGTTCTGCTAAATGCTCAAAATGTAACTCGCTAGCGATCAGTTGTAAAAACCTTGAGTAGAGAATGAGTAGATCTCACTCTGTACATTCTTTTAGTAATTTAAAGTGCCAGTGTGGAATGACGAGTCAATTTCCTTACTTTCCATTGTTAACGAAGATTTATGCAGATACCCAGACATGAAATCGAACACTGATACTATGTTCTTGTGTTTCTAAAACGGTGTTAATTTTCGGTGTCATGCAGGTCTTTCCACTTTTGATGCTCCATTTCAACTTCCAAGAACAAGCAGACTTGGTCTGGCAGTTTTTATGCAGCATTCCTGTCAATCTCATGGAAAAATTCTTGCCGTGGCTTGCTTCTTCACTAACTCAAGAAGAACGCCAAGAGATGACTGCATGCTTGGAAGAGATTGTTCCTGCCGAACAGCTCTTACAGCAGGTATGTGTGCTTGACGGTGGAAATTGTCTTAATGTGCTTTGCTGAGTTGATTTTCTGTCTTACACAAGTAATCCTTCAGTATTGGCTCTATCAAACGGTCCTTTGATATTGATTTCTCTTGTTTAGGTTGTATTCGCTTGGCTAGAAGGTGGAGGAAGTGAGGACGCAGCCAAAGGTGGCGAACTTGTTACCTTAGTATCTGCGAACGTTAATCTCCCTTCTCCAAACGACATTGTGTTGCACGGTCCGCTCAACAGGGCTGTTTTGATTGATGAACAAACGTCTCAAGGGACGACTGGAAGTGAAAATATCCCCCGAGTGCCACTAGGAACCACGGAACATACTTCTCATTTAGGACTTGGAGTGCCAAATCAGAGTCTTCACACTGGGACAGGATTGCCCGAACAATCACGCCTGCAACATGAAATGCCAGATATTTTTGGAGAGAAAAGCGACAGGAAGCTGTGCGAACCAGATATAGGGCTAGAATTGAACAGATTACAGCAAGCAAGACCTGTCGTTCGAGCCCCCATCAATGAGTTGTACTACTGGCACAATGCCATCCGGAAGGAGCTGAAAGAATTTGCTGAAGAAACCCGTCGGATACAGGTTGCTGGTAATCTTTTTCCTGCAGAGTTATCCTCGTTTGTGGAGCGGCTACAATTTCTGGCAGAAGTATGCATATTCCATAGGTGAGTTTTCGTGGTTTGAGGTTTTCGCTCTGTACCCCCTTTTTTTAGGAAGATCATCTTTTGCAACTTTTGTCTTCCAAGAGCTCTTAGCTGATTTCAGCGAAGGGAGGGTAAATTAATTCTTACAAATCCATGTGGCTAGGGCGGTGATCAAAGTCGAACTCTGAGTAACCGAGTAACCTCATAGTAAACTGACAGACGAATTGAGTAGACATGAAGTCAATGTTAATATGCCTAAACATGTGCTTTAATATTTCATCTGTATGCTTTGCAGTGCTGCGGAAGACAAAGTTCTTTTTCCTGCCGTTAACAGAAAAGTAAAGCGGGAGCTTCTGTGTGGCGCTGATCACGCTAGAGAAGAGCGACAAATTGACGATGTGAGACGTCTGGTGGAGGGCCTTCAAACTGTCGGAGACACCAGTCCTGTTCCTCCTCAACTTTATGTGAAGCTTTGTGCTCAGGCTGAGCTGATGGTGAAAAGTATCAGCAAGCATCTCAAGGATGAGGAAAAAGAGGTAATATTGTCAGACTATCCAGTAGTTTTGGGAGTTTGATGAGATGAGTTACTGTATGCAAGTGTGCAGGAACTACGTCGGCCAATACTGAAGGTTCTCGAATGATCGTTTCGCTTGTGGAGGGAGGTTGTGTGTATGATTGCTTTCTTGCCTAGAGCGTTCTTTATCGATGATCGGCTCTCTTGCTTGGGAATGGTGGTCTAAGGTCGTATCTATCCTTTCAATGTGTGCAGGTCTTACCATTAGCTCGCAAGCATTTCAGTGTTGAGGAGCAGCGGACTCTTTTGTATCAAAGCCTTCGGGTGATGCCGCTGAAACTTCTGGAACGAGTTTTGCCGTGGTTGGTTGGTGTTTTGAGTGAAGACGAGGCCAAGGATATGTTCCAAAATATGCGTTTGGCAGGTCAGTATCGTTTTCTGATCGGTGTCTATTTCCGTTCAGCGTTGCAAATAGGAGACAGAAGTGGATGTATCTTTGAAAGTTACAAACAAAGTGCTTGTTCATAACATAGAATGTCGTCTTGTGGTCTGCAGCTCCTCATACAGACAAAGCTTTGGTTACCCTATTTACTGGTTGGGCATGTAAAGGTCACCCAAGGAAACTTTCCAGCTCCGGACCCTTCAGATGTATATCCTCCAGAGAATGTCCAGGGATGAGCTTGAAGCCGAGAGAGAAGGTAGACAGACGGAAAATATCATCCAGCGGTAAGCAGGTGATGGATGAGTCTCTTGACGACCCTCACGTAAGACCACTCAAGCGACTTCGAGGAACCAAGGAAGAGGAAGCAGCTTCCTGCCGGCTGGACACTGATTCCGTAAGAGGTAATCAAGGGTGCTCAGGTACTTCTTGCTGTGTTCCCGGCTTAGGCTGCAGTGGCATCGGTTCCAAATCAAGCGGATCTTCGCTACGGTCAATTACTGTAGGATCATCAAGCCCTCTGATGAGTGGGTCCATGGGTTCTGGCCTCTTCGGATGGGGAAGCTCCGGAGCTGGGTCTGGAAGTGACTCCGCACCCAAGCCCATTGATCACATCTTCCAGTTCCATAAAGCAATCCGTAAAGACCTGGAATACCTCGACATTGAATCAGCACGTCTTGCTGACTGTACTGAAGAGTTCCTCCGACATTTTAGTGGGAGGTTTCAGTTTCTTTGGGGACTCTATCGCGCACACAGTAATGCAGAAGATGACATTGTTTTTCCTGCATTAGAAGCCAAGGAAGCGCTGCACAATGTAAGCCATTCTTATACAATTGATCATAAACAAGAAGAACAACTTTTGAAGGATATATCTGATGTGCTAGCTGAACTGTCTTTGCTCCATAGCTCTGGTCATACCCACGTCGATGGATTATCACAAAGAGAAGGCGATCCAGGAAATGATCTTGCTGCCAAGGAGGAGATTGCGCGGCGGCAACGAGATTTGGCTGGCAAGTTGCAGCGGATGTGCAAATCCGTGAGAGTAAGCTTGGATCAGCATGTTTCTCGGGAAGAGCTCGAATTATGGCCTTTATTCGGTGTCCACTTCACAGTCGAGGAGCAGGATAAACTCGTCGGTCAAATTATTGGTACGACTGGTGCTGAAGTCTTACAGGCCATGCTTCCATGGGTAAACACTGCTCTGACTGAACAAGAGAAAAACACCATGATGGATACTTGGCGACAGGCCACCCGGAATACTATGTTTGATCAGTGGCTGAGTGCTTGGTGGAAAGATACTCCACATGAAAAGAATCCTCAACCCAAAACAGATCTCGAAGGTAGGGATGTACCGCCGTCCGGATCGAACGAGTCTTTGCAAATAGTGGCTGATTACTTGGCACACGGCGCTTCCAACAGTCAGGACGTCACGATGGAGGAAGTTCCTGTTGAGACTTCTGGAAGTCAAGATTCACAAGCTCATTCTGATAGCCTCAGTGAGCGAACACATATCGCAGGTAATGAGGAGATTGCCGAAGCAGGTTCCGCTGGCGTGGGTACAAGCTCTAGTAGTCAAGAAGTTACAGTGGATCACCAAGAAAGCAAGAGAAATTTAGTTGGAGACGGTAGCGAAACTTTCAAACCTGGTTGGAGAGATATCTTCAGAATGAATCAGAAGGAGTTAGAGGCTGCGATAAGGAAAGTCTCAAGCGATACTTCCCTGGATCCACGACGGAAAGCGTACCTTATTCAAAATTTGATGACAAGGTAAGGATTTTCACTTTTCGCCCCCGTCTTAACGAATGATTTTCCCCTGACGTTTACGTACGCTGCTTGCATTTGAGGTTAATGAAGAATAACGTGTGCCCTGGCTTTTCTTGCAGTCGTTGGATTGTTGCCCAACAACAGATTCCCAACCACCCAGACGGTCAAGCTGGTGATGAGTTTAAGGATCCAGGGCAGTGCATCTCTTATAACAACGAGGCTAAAGGCATCTACGGATGTGAACATTACAAACGCAACTGCAAAATAAAAGCAGCTTGTTGCGACTTGCTCTACACTTGTCGATTCTGTCACGATAAAGTCAGCGATCACTCTATGAACAGGTAAGCTACAACCGCTTTTTATTAGTCACACGCATTCATCTCGCATTGGTTTTTATCACTAATTCTCTTTGACGCTGCTTCAGTCACCTTCTATACTTACTCTGAAGTTGATTGTATACTGTTCACTGATTTTTTAATTGCAGACATGCGACAAAGGAGATGATGTGCATGCAGTGCCTGCAAGTACAGCCCGTAGCTGGAAAGTGTGCAAACCCATCATGTAACGGCTACATTATGGCGAGATATTATTGCCACATTTGCAAGTTCTTCGACAATGATGACCGGTGAATATTTTTTCACTCAGCCGAATTTTGACGACAAAATGAATTTTTATACGTTCAGTAGAATGGTTGACTTAATGCACGTCGATATTTAGATATAACCTCTATGATCACGGTTTTTCTACACAGTATTGTCGCCTATCTACATTTATACATCATTTGTGCGACGATTTTACACGTAACACGTAGGTAAATGCTTGGTCTTTTAGTTTTACAGTCTTACCTGGTGTTAACAGTTCAAAGATTCTGGGTTTTCTTGCAGTTGTTTTGGTAGCCTATGTTTGACATCTCGGTAATTTCCATACGCAGAAATATCTATCACTGTCCATTCTGCAATCTATGTCGAGTTGGAAAAGGACTGGGGAAGGACTTTTTTCACTGTATGAAATGCAATGTTTGCATGCACATGAGCTTATCCGTCCATAAGTGTTTGGAGAAAGGCATGGAATCGAACTGCCCAATATGTCATGATTTTCTGTTCACATCGAGCTCGCCTGTAAAGGCACTCCCTTGTGGTCACTTCATGCATTCAGCGTGTTTCAAGGTATACTCACAGCTAATTTTATGTTTTTGTGGGGAATGTCAAGCTTGACAAACTGAAGTTTTTTTTCGTAGTTAGTCCTGAATAGCGGACCTATTGATTGCTAGAAGAGAAGCACGTCGAGAAGAAGTACTTCTTGCTGCTGTATCAAAGCATATGAGGCAGATGAAACCATACAAGTAAATTGACTCGAAAACCGTTGAAAAGTAAATTTTACATTTATGCTTATTGAGTTCTCGTCTTTGACGTGCAGGCATACACTTGTAGCAACTACACCTGTCCCATTTGCTGCAAGTCAGTAGGAGACATGGCGGTAAGTGTATGGAACTAGCACTTGTGTAGTTCGACGAAAGTTCATGACTTTTGGTTTGGGTGGTTCGCGATAGGCTCGGTTACTGATCGCGACATTTCCGTTTTGAACAGGTGTATTTTGGGATGCTCGACGCTCTCCTGGCAGCGGAGCAGCTTCCCGATGAATATCACGATCGACGGCAGGTATTGCAGACCAACCCTCTCTATAGAAGCCGATCAACTGTACTCCTGCGTTACAGTTTGTTATCATCTTTTGTTCATTTTCTGTAAGTTTTGCGGCAATCTTATTAGAAAGAATTCGAGATTAGAAAGAAGTTCTTCTAAACGTCTTGGTTGTTTTATCAGGATATTTTGTGCAATGACTGCGAGAAAAGGGGAACTGCACCATTCCATTGGCTTTATCACAAATGCGAAGATTGTGGCTCCTACAACACTAGGACTATATAGGGTATGTACTGTTGAATTGCAACCTTATCTTCAAAGACTTTAGATTCTTCTTTCAAGCCTTTACCGCGCTCGCTGGTTTTGTGGTTGGAAGTAATGGACGTGCGTGGGAACTTCCCGATGAGAAGTCCAAATTCAGATTGGTCTAACGAGTTTTTCTTATGATAGATGCTGCTTAGGAAAGGCGTTCATCAATTCAAGCTCGAAGCTTAAAACTTGTACAAAGAAACGCATGCCTCGTTGTCAATCTTTTATTACTCGAGGTGAGCTTTCTTTTGTTGGTGTCGCCTTTCTCTCCAGACAATGTTTCTGAAGAACATGAAGAGTTGAATCGTGGATATCTATGAATACACTTGTGTCTAGCGTGATCTCTAAATGCGAGATTTTGCAGCAATGGACATACATCTTGTCTGACTTACCATGGTATTTGGTACTTATATGTGAGCAGGTAAAGGTCGGAGATGAGCGTCAACTCGAGTGCATGCTAGTTTGAGCTATCCAAGGGCCTGGGTGAACGTCGATCTCTGTTACAGAAGACCAATTCTTTCACCCTGTCCATTAGCCGCTCTTCGGCTTCTGACACAGTGGGAAGTCAGTCATGCACACTGGTATTTGAAGAAGTAGAAAATGGGGCGAGTTCGTATCTGTAGTACCATTTTTGGCACATTAGGTAGGTAACCTGTTGTATGTAGAGAATTTTGTATAATGAAAACTCATCCCAGGAGTTTATCACCCAAATGATTGAGGAGGCTTTGTCGAATCTGATCACAACCGTTTCGCTAGCTATCTACAAGTAGAGATGTAAATTCCATGGCTAACAACGGTGGTTGATCACCATATTCTGTTCTTCAAGATGGAGTCCGTCATGCCGTAAAGGAAGGTCCTGTCACTCACAGTATCTGAGTCGGATGATGAGAACGATATAGAATTTGGCACTCCTACAAGAGGGAGTGCCAAATGCTTGCACGTGTTGGAGAACCGCTACCCAACATAGCAAAGATACTTACAGAAATGCAAGATTCTATAGACCATAATGCCCATAGTTAGCGGTCTTCGATCTGAAATTAAGCAGATTTTTACTGAACGTAATAACCATTTCCACATGTGGGATGATGTCATGAGCTCTCGACAGTTGTCACTGTGAGCTGGAAAGTACACCCTCTGTAAAGTCCAGACATGGACTGTAGCCACCTGTTTCTCGGGGACATGCCTGTAATTCTTGGGCCATCCCATTCCTCAGGAGTGAAATTATATCTGCCACTTCAACACACAGCTGTTTGTAATCAAAATTTCGAAGAGATAATGGACCAGAAAGGATGGTGCCCAAAGTATGTGAGCTAGTTAATGTTTCACCTTTCTCAAATTTCCCACCCGAAGACAAGAAGCATTCTCTCTCTCGAATCCGAGTCTGTAGCAGCGCCGAACAAAGGTCTACTTCTTGTGTCAGACGAGCAAACGTACAGCAAGCGCCATAGTTAGACTCCACTTAGTGTAGTGAAACCCTCAACATACATCGAGTTTGGGGACTCGCAAAGTTCCAAGGCTGCTCTTTGATGTTGAGCGAGCGGGGTGATGGAGGTTACGTTTACTGACGTCCGTTAGAGTCTGTGATCACACGTAAGAACTTACATTTATTTACAATGATCAACTTCTAATGGATGTTAAGATGAGCTCCAGCGATGGAGAGCGAGACTTACCCATAAGCCACGCCATGTTGTATGGTCCATGGATGTGTATAACAACCCAAATATTTATTCAGTCTTCGTTAGTGTTTGGAGTTAAGTGTATGTTCATATACATATATGTCATATAATCTATCCACTAGCATTGAACTGATTATTATATTTCGTAATCAATTTATCTACTATGCATATACAAAAATCAATTCAAGCTTTATTTTCGAATTTTATTATTCAAATATTAATGTTAATAGTGCTAGTTTTGATATATTTTGTCACAATGGCAAGTATCCCAAAAGAGTAAATACTCACATCACTGAAGTTATATACACGGTAAAATATCAAAATTTACTGAAAATTTAATGTGTGTTGCAGAAATTTTTTCTTATTTTTCTTACATAACACTAAGAATGTTATTTTGATTAAAATTAAAATTCATATTTATAGTGAAAATAATCTCCAATAGATTTTACACATGAAATATGTAATTTAGTTTAACAAGGGTATGTATGTGGAATCTTCTACATAGAGTCTCCTACTAGAAATTCTACTCGTGTCACAAATAGCTTGTTTTAGGTTTCTTATATAGAGCTAACTAACTAGTTTTAACAATCAGAGTTAAACCAACCAAATTTAATAGACTTGAGTTTATTAATATATAATAGACTCTTTTTGATAATGGCTGAAATATATGCTTTGTATAGCTATATATATTTAACTCAATTTTAAAGTTAAAATTTTATACTTGTGTGCGATTGAGTTGTGAGACAATGTTAACTTTTATCAATCAAAATATGTGAAAGATTCATAACCTGATTTGAAACTCTCAAACATTTAAAATTCCTTGGAATTTTGAAAACAAAATTTAGTTTAATTGCAATTTGATTTGTTTGTATTTTGAATCTGATGTTATATTATAGCAAAATGTTGGAAGTATTATTCTTTAGTCAGTGAAATCAATCAAGAAAAAATATACAAATACAAAATTAAAGTCAGATCTACTCACAAATAATCTTTTTATATTGACGGTTGATTAAAATTATAAGAGTCAGCGTCCTGGTCAGCGTCCTCAAGATCTGAGATTACACTTTCGTGATCACAATGAAATATTATACATCAACTCAGATCTCGTAGCATTGATAACCTGAGAACATGTGACTTTAAACCTCGAACTTGGAAAAAGAGTCGAGCTCCTTAACAAGAGCAGCTTTTGAGATTCCGCGTTCTCGAACAAGGATTGGTGGTTCAAATGGCCTATTTTGGAAACTGAGGAAGTTCTCGGCGGAAGAGTAGATGTCACTTGACAGTAATGCTTCGATCGACAACCATGGGATACGAAGATGTGTGCAAGAGCTTCTCTTGGGGATTCATCTCCGGGAAGTATATTATACATATGATTATCATATTTATTGGGCCGGCTTTGCATAACATGATGATGATGAAGCCGCATGCAGACGAGCAATTCTCACAACGCAGTTTACTTTTATCAAAGAGGTGAAGTCTGCATCCTCAACGGCAGCAAATGAGATTTGGACTCACAGTCGGCTTTGATGATATACTTGAAGATTTCGATGTTCGTGTATGGCACACAATTCTATGTCAAGGTCCAGATCACCTCTCTGACATCCAGATAAGAATCTCTCGGGTTTCGGATCGCACTTCTGAATCATGAGAAAACATGTTGGATTCTTGTACATGTAGAGTATGCGTAAAGTATGTCCTGCCGAGTCACTGGTAGGTGTCAAAGTTGACCTGGTCTGTGATATCTAGATGTGGTATTGTCAGCCTGCCGATATACTTGAGGGCTCACAACTACATGGAACAGTTTGATTCTCGAATGCACGACAGTGCCCATAAGCCGGATGGTGAGCAATGTATAAAACGTGGGCTTGTGGAAAATAACAGTGAACATTTCCAAAGGCTCACGCAACCTCAAAAGCTATCGACTGGTTCTGTTTACCGAGAATACTATATCAAGCCATAGAAGCTCTGAATGCCGAGTTCCGGTAAATCTGCACTACTCTCTCGAATAGACCTATGAAGTATTCGAATACACATTATTGCTCTCGAACGAAAGAAACACAAGCACTGTTCCTGGATGATCAACAAGACCAGTCTACCGCCTAAGACTAACAATTAGATACTGTCGAGGACATTGTGGGGCGTGAATGGCTAACTGCAGAGGACGATATATCCTACGTGCTTGCGTGTTATTCTCACTGCTCGCCGCCGTGCATTGCCTGCATTAACTCCCGGTTCGAGATCGATACCAGGACCTCAGTGACAGTGCAGAGAGGTGATGTTGAGCAGAATGTAGAGAATGAGCAACTGATTGCTCAAACTGAGGACTTCGGCCGTCGGAACTTCTAATTGAGCACATTCCTGCAGCTTTGCGCATTGAGAGCCCAGCAGGTTTCAGAATAGTAGATCTATCCCTCTTTTCCGCAGTCGACGTGCTTTAATGTGGTCGGCTGAAACGACACCAACTAGACACTTGGGTGGGGGTAAAATTATTTTCCAATTGCCATGGCAGAAGAAAAGCATGTTGGTCCATCCTCAGGTTCAATCCCATGTACTGTCATAGGTTCGGTAACCCACGAATCTTTGGCAGTTTCGGGGGAATAGTAAAAAAGTTACAAACTGCTGTGATCAGATCCAGAATCCACAAGGTAGAAGGCCTTTGAACTGAGCTGATTTCAAATTTGGTCAGGAAGCATAATATTAACCATCCCACAATTTGCAAAGCTTCTCGCAGTGGACCGACTCACCTGTAGACCTGGATGAAGGTCTTGATGCTCGAGATCAACAGGCACGTAAGTGAGGCCTCAGAAAGCCTTGAATTCCCATATTTAAACACATTAATTTAAATTATGGATTTAACTCTATTTATTGACAAATCTTGGGATTTGTCAATAAATAGAGTTTAGAGCACGCTATTACTCGACCTTCATTGACTTTCTCACGTGTGAGTCTCGGAAATTTATGAGAGAGTACGAATACGAAGAATATGTGGCATAATTCTACTTGTGGAAAACGTGTGATGATGACGTTATCAATTTATGGATGCCGCGAAATTTAATTTTGGCATTTTGTTAATAAATCCCAGAATTTAGGGGGCAAGAATTTACATCGTAAGTCGATACTTCCAAGTTGCTTCAACTTGCTCCTGCAGTCTTCAACTGCCCGAAATGCTGAATCGAATGAGCAGTCAAGTACAGTATCCTCGTGACCCGTCCTTTCACGGATTTACTAGCAGAAGTCAACGAGCACTTGACGAAGGCGTTACACTGTAGAGATACATGTAATATCCCGCAGCTTGTGAAACGTACAGTATCTATGCTAATTTATGGTCGCCACGTGTTGCTATGGAAGCAAGCACAGGTCATATCCTAAGCGATTCAGTGATTCCTGTTCCCTTTATCACCTTACGTTTGGTTTCCATTCGGGTACGGCTGCAAAAACAACGTGGCTATCTCAGAATGTGCAAGTCTCGTACTTCCACCAACTCAAGGCATCCGTTTCAAAAGATCTCTAGAAGGTGTAATTTCTCAACATTCACCTATTACCGTATAGTGCAGAGTGTAGTCGCAAAAAGGGTTCGTGTGACTTGAATGCTCAGCTAGGGTCTAAGTCTGAACACTCCGATTCTGTCAAACGCAGTGCAGATTCGGTTTGGTTCGTATCTGGTATCGAGCACATGACAGCCTTAGTGTATGTAGCGATGTCCCTGGGTGGGCCTAATTTCTAGATAACTCACTTTCACGCTTTGAATAACTCAACCTTTTCCGCTCTTTGAAAGTATAGATCTGATTTCATTTAGAGTTGTTGTTACTAGAGTAATTTCCCGGTTAAGTGTGTATTTCTTTTTCCCCAAAAAAGTTATACGATTTACTTAGTTCAACAATTCATGAACTATCATTTGGTACAAGTTTTGAAGTTACTTGCGTTTGGATTTCAGGATTTCGTGGTAGTTGATAACTTGCTATTAAATTATTCAAACAATTTTATAATAATTTTCGTGAAATTGTTACTTCAACTCTTTTAGTACTTATAAATAGAGAAATTTATTCTCTATATTAACAATTTGTTTATAAAATAACTCAAATACATTAAACACAAAATTGATTCTTAAAGAATTTTGAGCATCAAGAAAATCATCATCATTTCTATTATCCAAATTATTTTACTCAATTTTATAGTTTCCAAAATTTTTTCACCGTCATCCAAAATTTCAACTATAAATACTTCCTATATCTCGAGACTTTTGAATGTGTTTTGAAACATTCAAAAATTTATGTGAAACTATGATAAATCGACAAACTGTTTATTGAGATGGACCCCACTCGCGTGCTTTAACATAGGACATTGCATTCAAATAGCATGCTGAATGGACTGCGGGATCTATTCTTGATGATTTGTCAAAGAGTTTCCTGAATAGTATTTTAAGAGTAGGTACCCATCAAAAGTGTTGATGCAAACATTGATGTCCACTACACATATACAAGAAACATATCTGAGATGTTTGCTATTTGATCCTTTGTGGGTTAAGATTATCAATATAAGTATCAAATAAGTAGACATTTAAGATGTGTATTATATATGAAAAAGATTTTGAATATTCTCAAAAACTTGAGTCTTTTAACATGAACAAGACATCAACATTTATTGATCATCAAGAATCGTACGAAGACAGCTATTTGAGCTCGGATAATGATCACGTCATGTACAATTACCTATATTAGCTATAAAATAATGAACTAAATATCTATACTTTGTTTATGAAGCTTATAATTAACTTCACAATACATCTTTTATTTCAAATGTAAAATATAGTTATAAAAGTTAGGTTGTATGAAAATGATTCAAGAGAAAAAAGTATATTACTTTATATGCATATATAATTAGTCCAAAAATCTTCACCTGATGGGGATCTTGTTGAGATTAAGTTCACGAGCCATAGCTTGGTCAACCAGGGTCTGGGCTCATCGTTGATTGAGCCGTAAGCGGAAAAAATCATCATATTAGTGGTTCTTACAGGAACTTTAAAGTGGCATATTGCTCTTAATTTAATGGGTTATTTTCGGAGTAATATACGAAAATGTTCGTATTTCGAACATTTTATGTAAGAGTACCACAAACAACATATATCTTGATGGTGCATAATTATTTCTTTCTCTCTCAAAACATATACTAAGGATATATACCAAAATATTTATATTAATTTGTTATATTTATTAATTTATTATATAAATTTATTAAGGGTCTGCATTGGTGTTGAAGTTTTCAGAATTTGAGTGGGCCGGTCCTACATTTGCCATTGTTATGCTGGTTGTGATTGTTCTGTTCTTCTGAACTCCACTCGAAGCAACCAATCAGAGAGTGAAGCTCATGCCAGCTTTGGGCTCAGAAGTGTTGCCAAGGGCGATGAAATCAAGGCAGTTCTAGAATATGCCTGCCCAGGTGTTGTATAACAGCCCATGCAGATATACTCATCATGGCAGCTCGTGACGCCACCGTCAAAGTAAGTTCCCACTTAAACCACGAAGTTAAACTATTTACAACAGAGAAAAAGTACCTCATCCATTAGTGACCGTACTTTGCCTTCGCTGATCACCATCTTAAAAGCGTTCTGTATATTCCCACTTGCCTGCTGTCAATGTTCAAAGGGTGGAGGGCCAACCTGGACTGTAGCAGCGGGTCGCAGAGATGGACAAAATTTGTCAGCTATCAATTTGGTCGACCAATTGATTGTCTGACACCAATCTTCCAGTCCCAATTTTGAACTTCAGCGGATTCGTTTCCAATTTTGCCCCCAAGGGCTTTCACGCCAGAGAAATGATAACTGTTTCAGGTACTACAATCTTCACTAACGCTAAGAGCGTATATTGAGCATAAATGTAACAGCACAGAGTGAGTTATGCTCCTGTACTATGTTCAAGTCTGAACAACTACACAGATTCTCCAGTCCAGATGTCAAGTTTACCGTCTGTCCCTCTGCATACTCCCAATTGCGGAAAGAACTACGAGTCCAGCTTCGGTATGAGTCCTCTTTCTTCGAATTCTTGCAATGCGGCGATGATACCTTCTGAGGAAGGCCTGAACTTGAATCCCAGCGCTTCAAGCCTTTTGGATGGTGATTTGCAGCGTGCTAGCCAAGGCTGAGTGTTTTCAATCCTGCGGTGGACCAACGGCGGCATTCACATGAGTTTAGAGTATTGTGATTAGAACATTTTCGGCAGTAATCATCATGTGCTCGTGATGCACAAACTCTGGAGATCAGATCCGCCAAGATCAGTCCCAATCTTCGTCGGGGTACAGAGTCAGTGATATAAGAATTTTGACTCTGATGGGATCACATCTATTCACGAATCAGATGATCTTCCGCAGGTTCAGTCAGTGGACGGAGTAAGTAGACATTGATGAGCTTATCACAAAGCTCCCAACAAAGAGAGGAAGAAATCAAGTTCGTATGTAGCTCTGGGTTGTCAGCATGGAGAAGCTGGTTGCCAAGTAATCTACGATTTCTCTGAGGTGCATGCACGTGATTCTTCCATCCTCGCTCGTTGCTCTTCCTCGTCCTCTCCCAATATGTGGGTCTGTACAATAATCAGCATTCTGCAAGAAGAGAGGGGTCGGTTGAGCTGCTTACTGAGGAATATTATGTCGAGGATAAAGCTGGGCGACGAGGTTCATGACATCGCTAAGAGGCGCATAGCTTTCTGCGCAGATATAGCGCCCCGAGGCTGATGGAGTTTCGTATAATAAAATCATGGCGGCGGCAACGTCCCTGACGTCAACCGGTCCACCATAACAGAACATTAAGGGTATATACGAGCCTGGAACGACGATGAGGACGATTTCAGTTCTTCGAAGAATTTCAGTCCAGTGGTGCGACTTGCAACTGGTGGTTCATAAGCGCGAGCACATCTGCAAGTAAATGGTGCGGAAAAAAAACATACCATGGAAAAGTGGGAGCATAGTTATGTTGCTGGGGCTCACTTCTTTCTGCAGATTGGGTCCATAGCACATGGCTGGGAGGATCGAAATCACATCAAGTCCCGTCCTTTCTGCAATCTCCCAAGCTTTTCGCTCCGCCATTATTTTCCCAACCGTATACCAGGCCTGCCCTCGATCGGTGCGAACACGGCAATGAGCTTTCTGAATAATTAGCTCCAATGCTTCTGGTGACTTGTGATTAATTATGCTCGACAGTGTGTGTATATTGCAACCGGAAAAGGAGGCATGAGAAGCAGTGGACATTGATGTTGAATGGGTGTGACAAAGTTGAAGGAAAAACGAGCTGGAGAAGAAAGTGACATTTGCTGGTACGCACCCCGACTTCGTTGAAAGTTTTTGGATCGGACCCCCTTTCCTTAAAAAATTCTGCATCAGCCCAATCATTTTCATCTGGTACTTTGCTCGCGTCCTGGCCTCTGTTGTACATACAAGCGAGAATGCTTGACATCAGAATGACACGCTTAACCCCTGCGGCTGCGCATGCTTCCAGGCAATTAACGACTCCTGCAACTGCGCAGTCGACCATCTCTTTCTGCATACACGTTACAAAAAAAATCAGAAAGCTGGAAATCATTAAAAAGTAGATGCTGGAAAATCTGTGAAGCTTGTATAAAGACTTCTTGAAGCCAGATACTAGTCAACATAATTTAGTAACAATAAACTCAATTCAACATTCTCTCCCAGCTGAATATCAATACCATTCCACTGATACATGGCTCGTGAATCAATTTACAGTTCAAGTGCCCAAACCTATTCAACCTGGGAATTCTGGGACGTCAGAACGAACCAATTCTCCGATTATGTATGCGCGTCACTGAATGCAAACCAGCGATGCAGTAGATAGTACTAACCGGCAATTTGGGAGCAAAGCTTCAATTTCTAAGATCATGAGCACAGAGCGATTGAGGAAGTCTTCGAACCTGGTGATCGTCTGAATCCGGTACAGTTGGAGAGGCAACGTGAAAAACGCCTTCGCATCCGGCCACTACTCCAGCAAGTGCTTCGTAGTCCAAGATGTCGGCTTTGTAAAGCTTGAGTCTTTGATCTGCTCCTTTCAGTTTCCACAAGTGCCCATTTTTATCCTCATTTTCTGCACAGCATCGACCGTGTGTGAGGTAATTTCTGTGAATCTCGTCCTCGGTCGCTGAGCAGATGGGAGTTGGTGCATAGACATCTATGATACCAGTTAAGTGCTAGCGGCTGCTGAAGATCAACCTTCGTGACAAGATGGAACACATATATCAAGTAAGACAGTTTCTAGCCATAGAATTGCACACACGGTCAGCAACTGTGGAATATCACAATCCCTGATGAGCCATAGCTCATGAATGGAGTTACCAGGACTACGGACCGTGCCCCGCACGGTGTATCCTTGATCGAGTAATTGTGCCACAAGCCACGATGCTATGAATCCATTTGCCCCAGTAACGCACACGGTGCGGCCACTGGCTTCTCTATCTGCGCTCGATGAATCCACGCATGAATTAGAATTCACTGCTGTCATCGTTTCGAGGTGCTGGGTCGTCTGTCGAGGGTAGATTACTGCGTCCTTCTGATGATGGAGCAGTCACAGTTTCACGAGAAGCTAGAATAGAGCGTTTTATGAAATGAGCCTTCAGTTGAACCCTCTGCAGAATGAACAATAAATCCGTCCCCTTTGACTTGCGTCAGAAAACACCCATCTGTCATCGGAGTGGGTTTAACAACGTACAGAGCAGGACCTCTGACTCTTCCCTTCTCGTGAGCTGTCCGGATAGATTTTCTACGACCGTCTCCGTAGTCCCGCCTAATTTGCTCATCGGCAATAACAGACGTAACGTCTAACACGATTCGCTGGATCCATCAGCGTGGCTGCAGAGTCTCGTGTCGAAGCAGGTCTCTGCAGACAACGAAATAAATTGTACCTCTAAGCGGTTTCGCGTCACCACTCATGAAATTTGTTTCGTCTCAGCGGGTCAGCCGAGCGGACGGTCGGCGTCCCGATAATATCTCCTATGGCCTATCTCCATCGCTTGGAGCAGAATTAAGCTTATCTTGGAGTAGTACTGGCCTTCAATTACAGATCCAGACAAGGCAAGCCAGGCTTTTGATGGAATCTCTCTTTCATGTCAAATTCTGTCATTTGTCTCACTGTTGAGCTCGTCGGCTGTGGATTACTCTTGAACGGACAATGATCCGAGGTACGGGAGGCCAATACGGAACGCAATAATCTTCTGCACAGTTCATGGTAGTTGAGAAGAGTACGCAATTATCCAGTTATATTTCATGCTCGCACGGTTCGAATGGGATCTTCTTTATATTTCTTTGGAGAACGGTGGAGCAGACCGTATCACTCCCTTAATGTGGCTGAACTCTCATCCCTTCGCCTTGGGATACGTTTATTTTCCCTTCACGAATGCGTCATGATTTGACTCTGGAACGCTTTGTCTAGGAGCCTTGAGTGTCGAAAGGAATCTAAAAAACGCGTACGAACTTCGTACGCGAACTTCGTACTACGAAGTGTTCCATAGTCCGGTCAGTCGACACGTATTTCGACTTCAGTTTCATGCACTCGTCCGAATATCTTTACTAACTATTTGTGACAGTGATCATGTTAAAGACACTTCTCGTCTGACACTCATGCATTTTTTTATGCAACAATCCGATAGTAATGAACTTTGCGTGCATGCATGTGTTTTGATAGGTTACAATATATTGTGAATATCGTCACGAGTCATATTATATGAGTAGTTCAGTAACGATACTATTGACGGTTTATAGTCAATTTTGTGTCTAACCTAGTCATCAGCCACAATTGTCTAGAGGTTCTGATTTGTCTAATAGTTCCAAACATTAGAAGGAAAACCATATACATTTGCTGTCTAGTTAGAAAGGCAATCAGAAGTTCAATTTGCCAGTGAACATTGTTTGAAGTACTCATCTTGCATCTAGAGCTGGGTTGTTTTAAAAGCGGAGGTAGCATTTCAGCTGCTTTCATGTTGGAATTATTTCAAGTGAGCAGAATGCTAGTTAGAGGTTTATCTTCTCCGCAATGGTTCCTAACTTCAAGTAGAGTGGTAATAAGCAATGGCAGGCTGTAGAGAGTCAGAGTACCTGCAGTTGTGGAAACATGTGCATCACTATCAGAATGATGTTCAAATTAAATTCCAAATGATTTTCAAATCTATTCCCTTGCTCTCCTAATAAATCAGCGGTCTTCAGATAGTTGTTAAAGCGCATGTGCGAAATTGTATAATGGATCTAGCCCCATGTTCTCCAATACACATGCTTCTAAAATACTCCGTATCAGTATCTAATTCTTATGAAATTTAATTAGTTATTAGCATCACAATAGCCTCCCAAAAGTACAAACCCCTTTAGTATGCATCCCAATTAAGTAAGCTTTTATTAAAAAAAAAATTTAGATATCAACATTTTTAGTAATTTCACCTAATATTTTAGGGATTTCAATGTTACATGTTTAGGCTTTTTTTGTTGCGTTTGACTTTGAATACGACTTGTTGGACCTCGGTTTGAAATTCTTCAAACAAATTTTTTGAGATTGTAGAATGAATCTTTGACTTATGTTTGAATGTGAGAGCACAACAACTGATACTTAGTATGAAGAATCTGCTTATACAAAGTCTCAAATTCATGAAAAACAACTCTATCATGTGATTCTACAATCTCCTTTGGTAAATTAACATCATTGTCTTCATCAACACCTGTTTCATTAATGTTCATCAAATCCAACAGTTCTTTGACGTTTTCTAACACTGCTGCGACATATTTTTCATTGACTTTGTTGTCAATGTGAACATATTTTTCCAAATTTGATTGGTGGATCGATAAAGTAAAGTTTTTTATGATTTGTACTAACTCAACGACAATTACATTATTTTTGGTATCAGCTCCTGGTTTCAGTTCCAAATTCATGAACTCATTTTTTATAGAGCTTGACCAAACAGAATCCCATTCTTCTATTACATAGCTTGCAGCATCTAGCAGATGCGTTGGATTTTTATAAAACACTCATATTGCATCTTGTTGTTCACTATTTTTTTTCGTTGATTCAACTCCTCATCAAGCTCGTAGAAATCAAGACTATCCTTGAGATATAAATATTTGTTGGTTTCTTGAGAGCGGCAATGATTATTATATCACAAAGTTGTTTACAGCTAGTACAATTTTGGAAAAAATAATACTACACGGATGTTGTCGCGTTTGAAGTCATTGAAGTTTCATGGTGCATTATCTATCAATTAGAAAACGGATAATTTTATTCGTCTTTTGATTTCTAGAACACAGACTTTGTTGAACCATCTCCAACAGGTTTTCACGTCTATCTAGGCCTTCGTTTGATTGGAATAAGAAAATGATCAATGTTGGTGTTTAATACATGCTAGATCTTTTGGTTTTCCAATCATTACACAAGTAATTTTATGAGTTCCAGATGTGTTGGCGCAAACTATAAAAAAAACACAATCTTTTGATTTCTTTTTGACTTTGGTGCTTGTAATGTACTCGTTCGACATAAGAATAAAATATATGAGAACCAGTACAAAAAAATAAATCCAATATTGTCCATGTTGTAGACATTCTCAGTGTTATATTGAGCGATAATTTTTCTAGGGCTGGTAGTAATCCTAGTTCATACTTGTTAATCTCAACACTTCTCCATGAAGAAGCATTTTTTTTTACAGCTCGGCTTGTCCTGAAACTATTAAACCATTGCCATGAAACATAAAAAACTGAATCAAAAGTAGATAACGTAGAAGCAATACCTTTTGCTTTTGCAATGGCAAGAGATGGTGATACATGGAGCTTGGCACGACGCATGCTGTCAATCCAGATGTACAACATATATTCAAATTTGGAAAATCGTCCAACTGAAGCTTTGAAGGTTTTCTGCTTAGCTTCTTCTAAGAGTAAAGCGGATATTTTGAGACTAAAATATTGTCTCTTCCATAGCTTTCCTTATAGTGCCTTCGCTAAGTTAATACTCATGCGCTAGAGCGCTTGTGCTTGGATTAATCTTCTTTTTTAGTTTAAAATGATCTCGGAACGTTGGAACTCATTTAGACGCTTGGTGGTCAATTTTTTCAACATTGAAGCGATGAGCAAGATATCTGGAAATGAAGATGTCAAGTACACACCAAATTTGGGATTCAAGGTGCAAATTTAAGTGAAAGACTACTTTATTTTCATAAATTCATGCAAAAATGTCAATCAGTATTGCATGAATTTATGTAAATACATGCAATGCTGACTGACATTTTTGCTTAACAGTTCACATTATCTTTGGTTCAAGCTATACTTACAATCTTCAATCTCTCACCAAAGACTGATGTATTACAGTTCTTCGCAATGTCAGTTTCTTCTCACATCACCTCATTAAGGACAAATTCCAGCTCCGAGAAGTACATCGGATTTATTACTTTTTGAGTAAAAGAACTTTGCAAGTTTTGCAACTTAGGCAGTTGATTTATAATGTGAGCATGGAGCATTCAAAAATTAATCAAATATATTGATGTATATTTAATTGCATGAAAATTGGTTTTATTTGAAATTAGAATTTGTAAAAAAATTCAGGAAAAATTGTTTAGATATTAGCTATAACAATGCATTATTGTTTAAAATATGAGTTTTTTATTCCATGTTTTTCTAGTTTTGCTTTCTCTAGTTTTTTATATTGGAAATCTATAGTATGATGTAATTTTTGGGTGCTTGAAAACATAGAATGCTCTAATTGAAATACATAAATAAGCATGAAGTAAGTTTCATTGGTAATATGATATATATCTGTCATTAATTCAATATTATAGTATTTAAAAAATCAATTATGATAAATTTGATAGATATCAATGATAGATATTTTCATGGATAGTAGATTAGTATCAACCAAAACTATGTTTAAGCAAAGAATAAAATAAGATTATAGACTCCCTTAAATAGAAGTGTATAGAATAGAAAAGATATTTCAACCAGGTATTTATCCGTTATCAAAAATATCGCTCAATATGTTTCACATTTACAGCTAATATTTTTTTAAAACATACATTTTTGTTTCCAAACAAATGATTTCGAATTTTAATTTTATATTTCTAATGCATTTAAATTTGATATCAGTTGTGATCTAAATCTCAATAAAATTTGAGTTCAATGTCTCATTCAAAGCAAGTTTTTTATCTTTTTAAAAATGAGAATCATCTACAAATCTGGATTAAAAATCTGAAAAACATGAACCAGCAATTGCAAGATCAGGCTTACCATGCTTTCGAAGATTCATTATCTAATAGTTTTTTACAATATCAAATTTTAAATATAATCAGAATTAGATTGCAAATTATCGCCTAAGAATTATATAATTTGTTAAGATCAAAATTATATTGAATAAATTTTATATTTAAATGTAAATTTTCATTGATATCTATGTAGCGAATTACCTATGATAATATTATTTTTTATATCTTTCAGTATCATTGATTACTCTTTGTTCAATAATTTTATATACTTAAAAAATCAGAACGTGAATCACATCAATTATGATAAAAAATTTAATTTTTTTTCTATTAGTTGATATTTATTCATGATCAATCTTCTTGTATCATATAAATAAAATATTATTTATTGAAAAAACCAAAACGATGACTTAGATAAATAATTCCTCTTTGAGATTCATTTTTTAATCATTTAGATATGAAGAGAACAATTGAAATGAACATGTAATTAAAAGTAAATTTACATTTTGATAGATTCATAAGTGATTGAACGATAATTAATTTTGCTAAGTTTGCACTAAGGAGACTGCAAGTCTTTGCAAATGCCATTTATAATTCAATCCGATAATTGATACAGAACGAAAATTCTTAGACATGTGGTATAGGGTATTATTAATTATTCATTTATGTCAATTATTTATGTTTTTTTTTCAATAAATATTGGTATAAACTAACAAATTTATGTGAAATGATTCAACCAAATATATCTTTGAAATTATAGTTCATATCAATTTATGAAATGGATAAATTGATATTTAAAATCAAAAATTTTAATAATATGTATAAAAATGCTACATAGAAAATAATTTAAAAATATTTATTGATAAAAATTACTTAAAAAATTGCAATAGTTCTTTTGTAATTTTTACAATTATACTTTTTAGATTAAACAGTTAATTCCTAAAAATCATGTTTTGATACTTTAATTTTTTGATTATATTTGATTTTATAAATTTTATACTATAACATGATATTTTGAGTTTCAAATTTTTCCTTTGAACTTTTTTATCTTTGATATTTTAAATTCTTATCAAAAAATAATTTATGCAGTCCTTATAATTTTTTAACGAGCTGTTGCAAGTCTAAAGTGTATTTTTATTAGTCATTTATGTCTGATGATTAAAGTTAAGTACAATTTTCCAAGACGCCAATCTGGTTTATTTTTAAACATGTCTTCAAATTTTAGAAAGTTGACTAAATGACCTACTTGATCTTATCTTAAATCATTAGAACAAGAGCGATATTTGATCTTCAGCATAATGAATCTAATCACACTAGTAATTTCCTTCTATACACACTTCACAATCATATCTCAAAATGTTTAAATGTATGAATAAATATAGACAATCTTAGTATATATAATTTTTTATGAATCATAATATTAGTCGAACTTGATATCCATCAACTTCCTTTAATTTGATTTATGATAATAACAACAATAGATTGAAATTAGCTACCGTTAAATTAAAAGAATAAAAAAAAATCACGTCAATCAAACTCTTATTCTTACTTGCCAAACTGAGGCGGAAAGAACAGTATATATTATAATCAGATCTAGACAGCTCATCATTTGCTGCATACTATGACACCAGTCATGCCATGCCCATGAATAATTTCTATGAAGAGCCTGCATGTTGACCAAAAATAGATAAAGCATTGACACCTATGAGGTTACGCTATTCTTAAATATTGTGTCACAATAGATTCATGAGAGAGATTTCCATGTGGTTTTTTCACGAGAGACATTTCCAGAATATCATATGAGCTACTTCTTAATAGAAAGTAATGTTTCAAACAAGTTCTCTTGGTTTGCATAGACTCCACTATACATTTCACAAGTTCTATAATAACATCTCATGGAGCTAATCATGAGCTTTACAATGAATTATAGATCCCTGTCATCGTCTTCCCATACTAGTCATGTCTGAACATGATACTTGTTGCAAGAGCTATTAAGATTAGAGCTGATTCCAAGATCTTAAATACTATAGTATTATCCAAAGCATTTCGTATTCCATTGTACTTAGCGATGCATGGAGCGTTGTATGAGTTATCTAGAATTTTGTCAAAAAAAAACTCGGCTTGATCATGGTAGAGGTATTACTGCATACTCATTGTTGTCCAGTTGCAATTATTAATATATAGCTTACATGCACTACAATGTGATTCAGCTTATGATATCGAGAGAAACGTAATATTAACTTGTTATTTGTTCTACATCTCATGTTTTCGCATGTAAAATCTGCTGTTAGAAGAAGTGACTATGTCTCCAACCTTTTTAATCTCTCTCTCTCTCTCTCTTTTGCTTTGACCCTCGGGTGGTTCTATTCTAGCATCCATTTGCTTTTGCTGCTTACCTCAGTCCATGAGTATCCACATTCCCCAATAATATCAGTAAGATTACAGAGTAAATAAAGATTAAATGTGCTCCCGAAAAGTAGAATGCAGAACTCACACAAGCTGTACTCAGGACTCTAAAATGAAAAGAGAGAGATTTCCACGTGATTTTTGCTGGTAGGTGCATTTTGTACACTAATTGGACCAAATTGCAGGCTGTGGCAGACTAATTTGAAAACTCATGGAGGAAGGGATCTTTTGAAGAACCGAACAGATAAAATGTTGGAAATTTGTTGACTAGAGATGTTGATGCTTGAACTGGAGTATGCTATCAACTTTCAAATCAATGTGGCCAGTCAGTTCGAGAAGACACACACAGAGTAAAATTTTCCAGAGGCGAGCTAACATATCAATGTTATTCCAGTTCATGACGACGTTAAGGGGGGAAAACAAACAAAGGGAAATGAAGAAAATGAACTGATACAAGTGACCTTGACATCAGTCGATTGATAAGAATAAAAGTTACAGAAGGAGCCGCTCTTGACGGATCCGGAGTGCTGCAATGGCTGACTACCAAATCAGCGACGTGGACTCCTTGAATACCTGGTCATTTATTGTACACTATATTCTGTGCTAATCTCACTAATTTTGTTTAAGCTCTACGGGGGTGCCCACATGCAGATTTGGGGCCCCAGGTTCCCAGTGACGAACCTAATGAGTGTACGTATGAATGAATGAATGATTGATTGATTGAATGCTTTTCAAGTTATCGGGAATCCTATGTATGGAGTTTAAGGGGGACTGAAGGCAATGTGACAAAGAGAAGGTGAGTTAAGTGAGCAGAGATGAAGAGCTGGCTAAGCAACATCTCTTTGTGTCGTGCTCGAACAGGCTTTGCAACTAGTGGAGTGAGACTCAGCCGAAAAGATAGTACGATGGAGCCATTTCTACTGGCCGGCCATCAGAGTGAGTGAGTGTGTCTTGTGAACACAATGCAAAATTGATAAAAACCCAAAACTACTACTTTCGGGGCCTACCACTCTTCTTGTCTACTTTCAGAAATGACACTCTTCTACGGTTCAGGCACTGTTCGTTCAGAATTGATGATGAATGAATGAATGAATGAATGGACGGACAAACTTGTTGTACATGTTCATGTGCACCGATGCACGACCAAATTCTCACACTCTCGGTCCCTTATTTTTTTAATCTATCGTCTAGTGTCAGTACGTGAGAAGCTGCAGAATCGGTCTTCAGCTCCTCATGGCGGTTCAGCGCCCTGTTGAAATGACATGCCTGCATTCAGAGCGCGTAATAACGTGACCTCCGCCGAAGGGCGGAGTCGACATTCAGAAAGATCGTTAACCTCGGCCTCACCACCTCACCTCCATGCTCAGGTGCCCTGGGGAACCGAGTCCGGCAGGGCACAAGTCTTCGTCCCGGCTCTCTTCAGGCTGCGGTGGGAAAATTGGAGTCCCGGTCGCTTGTGCTGGAATCGAGCTGTGGGTTTAAGGAAACGCGAAGGTTCCACCAGTTGAGCTCAATCCTTGAGCGTCGGCCGGAGGGCTGATGGTCACCCACAAGAGCGAGATGACGATGGCCAGCAGGCCGGACCAGACGTAGACGATGGTGGGAGTGCGACCTCTGCGGCCCATGAGACCCTTGGCGAATGGGTACAGGTGGGTGAGCACCCAGACGCTGAAGAAGACTCCTCCGACCAGCTTACTCCACTGCGGGATGGAGCTGTAGAGCGTCCTCGACACGGCGACGGCGATGGCGATCAGATTGACGAGCATGATGGTGATGGGCGGGATCATGAGCGCCGTCCATTTCACCACGTACAGGTCCGCGAACTCGTCGTCGATGTCTTCTCCTCCGGATTTCGTCGTCAGCGTGAAGGAAATTTCCACCCCGGCGATGACTTTGAGGAGACCCTGGATGACGGCTGCCAGATGAGCGCTGGTGCCTCCGATGACCCAAAACTGCTCGTTCCTCCACCACTCCTCCAGCGTGATCCCGGACCACTTCACCTCGAGGATGGCCAGCAGGCAAAGGCAGACGGAGATGGTGAGCAGGTACGTCAGGAATGTCACGTTCAAGCTCGCCACGATGAACTGGCCCGAGAAGAGCGAGAGCGCCGGGAGAAAGCAGTAGGCGATGAGGAAGAGCGACGTGAAGGGGTACACGCCGACGTTCAGGTACGCCACGCGCTGCAGGACCTTCATGTGCGTGTTGGCGAAGATGGCGTTGTTCTTCGAGAAGAAAATCTCGACGGACCCCGTAGCCCAACGGAGCACCTGGTGCAGTCGATCCGTCAGATTGATGGGCGCAGTTCCTCGGAAGGCGTCGCGCTTGGTGACGCAGTAGATGGACCGCCAACCACGGTTGTGCATGCGGAACCCCGTGACCACGTCCTCCGTGACGGACCCGTAAATCCAGCCCACTCGGTCGCCCCACTCGGTCTTGTCCTCGTAGAAGCACGAGATGACGTTGATGGCCTCGGCCACCGTGGCCGCGTCCAGCGGCTCGCGCGGCCCCGTCAGCGCGCCCGCGGGCCGCCCGTTCGCCACGCCCTGGTCCGCCAGAGGCTTCCCGGCGAACTGCGCCACGGGGATGGACGCCACGAAGGCCATCGACTGCCCGAACTGCTTCGGCAGCAGCCCGCGGTCCAGCCCGTCGCTCATCTCGTCGCTGTTGCCGAGGCCGGCGTTGATGTTCGCCACCTCCACCTCGCGGTTCGGCTTCGCGTTCTTCTTCTTGTTGTGCCGCGACTTCTTGTCCCCTCCGCAGCACAGGCTCCACAACGTGTGCTCCTTGGGGCTGCGCGGGGGGTCGAACCCGTAGAGGGCCGTCCTTCGGAAGCAGCACCCGGTTCCGACATAAACGGGGCCCTGCAGCCCATCCAGAGCTCGCATGTTCACGTCGAAAAACACGGTGTTCCGATTGGCGTACCGATCGCTGGGATCGACGCCCTCGAACCGCTGCGGGAACTGGACGTAGCAAATTTTATCGCCGCCACGGTCCATCATGAAGCACATGGCCTCGCGCATGGCCAGCGAGTAGTAGATGTAATGATCGCAATCGAGATTGAGGATGAAGGGCCCGTTGGACATGATGGCGCTGGTGCGCACCAGAGCGTTCATGGCCCCGGCCTTCTTGTTGTGGTCGTAGCCGGGCCTCTTCTCACGGGACACGTAGACCAGCATCGGCAGCCGGATGTCCACATCGCTCGTGTCGATCAGATTCTCCTCGTCGTTGCTGCCCATCACCGGCTCGTTACCGGGCGGGGCGAGCATCACCTGGATGATACCGGCGTGGTCACTGCGGCCGTGCTCCTTGGTCGAGACCAACCACGTCCCGGGCCAGTGCGTGCCGTCGGCCATCCAGGTCGCCTTGACGCCGGCGGTCTGCGAGCCGCCGTCGGCGCTCGAGTCCATGGACGTCCTCTTGTGGACATTGTACGCATCGGATCGCCTCCTGATGGCCTCGGGCAGCCCATTGATGCGCACCTTGTACTCGTCGTACTCGCGCTTCACCCTCCTGCGATCCTTGACGAAATCCATCCTCACCTTGCCCTTGGTGGGATCTCCGCGGCTCAGGAAATACGAGTCCGGGTTGCGGGGCTCGATGTTGTGCTTCCTGCAGAACGGGACCCAGACTCGCGCGAAGCTCGCGGTCTCGGCCAGCGCCTCGAATGACAGCAGCGCCCCTCCATCGTCCGAGAGGTAGATGGCCAGTTTCTCGACGGGGTACTCGGCCGCCAGGATGGAGAAGATGGTGTTGCCCGTGACCAGAGGGGGCTCCTTCTCTGGATCTGCGCTGGACACGAACACGTCCATTCCCGGCAGATCCGATCGCCCTCGGGGATTCTCCGGGGAGACTCGCTCGAAGCGCTCCTTGAGGACGCTTAGATCCGTGGACCGATTGACAGGGTTCAGCTTGGGCAGCTGATCGAGAATCCACGAGAAGGCGAACCATATCTCGCACACCACTGACATCCCCCACAGCCAAAGCGCATCCTTGTTGGGATTCTGAATCCGCCAGGCCAGGAAGAAGCCCAGCACCACGAGCCTCAGAAGCGCGAGAAATCGGTACGGGCTGATGACTCCGGCTGGGATCGCGAGCTTGCGAGTCAGCGGGCGACGATTTTTCTCGTTGAATGCCGGCAGAGGCGGCCCATTCATGCCCCCGCCGCCACTGCTGTCTCCCCCCATGTACGAATCATCTTTGGGCCACACGGCATTCCCGTAGCCGTAGGTACCTTTCGTTTCATAGAGCCAGCGCGCGTGATCGAAGTTCTCGCTGCCAGTGCCATTCTGATGCTGCTGGCTCATGAGAAGAGGAGGCTTATTGAGGAGAGACAGTCGCCTCTCCATCTTCCCGGAATCCGCGTGCGCGTAGCCGGGACCGGGAAGGGCCCTTCGTTCTGGGATGCTGGTCATCACATCCTCTGCCTGGCCGCCATTATCGTAAGAGTCGTGGCTGATATACTCATCCTTGCAGCCCGGGCATCGACCCCCGCTATTCAGAGCGTCGTAGTAGCAATCTCGGCAGATTTTGAAATTACAATTGCAAGGGTAGATGTCCTCCCCTCGATCGTTCCTCATGGTCTTGCCGTCGCATCCATCGACTCCGCAAGTGTTTCCTTTCGCCTGGTGATCGCTGGTCACTTTTTCCATCACATGACCTCGAGTCTGAGCCTTGTACCCGCCAGTGAACATGGTGCTCGACACGAATTGTTGAGCTCCTTTCCCCGGCGGAGGAGGGTGACCTCCCGGTGCTCGTTGTGGAGAGTTGGGCCCGGACATCGGCTGGTTGTCGGGAGTCGGAGGAATGTGCACCGTGTAAGGAAAATCGGCGCTCATGTCTCCACCCATGGATTGGTCCATCGACTGATCCTGCTCGTCTCGAGAGATGGACACGTACCTTCCACTCATCGTCCGCCTCGTATTTCCTCCCGGTACAGGCAAGGGTCCGGGCTTCTGCCCCATCCTGGGGCTCGGTTGGCCTCCGCCGCCCCTGACCGACTTGGCCCCTGAGGAAGTAGCCATTGCAAACACACCGCAGCGCCCCTCGAGCTATCTATTCGGTTCCTTCTGTCTCCCGTCCAGTCTGCTCGTGTTGTTTCTACTCCATCTATCCTCCTACTCAGCTACCTGTCGATTGGGACTGAATTCCTGCAGATGACTGCAGCAGTCTGCAGTCTTGCACTGGCATTCCTTGAAATCTTATATTATCTCTAGGTTGTAGATCCTTACAATACTGCTCGGACTCGTCCTATGATCCTCCGTCAGAGTACCGATGAAAGCCCAAATAGAAAAGACGATTGATTACTAGGTTATGTACGCGTCCTGTCCCATAGATCTCGATGGTTCCTTGGCCGGGGCTGCAAACGCAAACTCTACGTCGTCCAGCGTTGTAATTCACGCAAATCCCTCACTCTGTCACTTCCTGGCTCAAATTTTCTTTAACTAACACACTCGACTCAACTATCGAAGGTCGCTCGCTCGATCGCTCTGCACGTGAGTCACGAGCTAGCGGGGTAAGTTGAGTCGAGTGGATACAAGCTAGAGAAAATGGGGACTAAAGGAAGGACGGGTCGAGGAAGAGAAACGAGTGAAGTTGATTGAAAACTCCCTGGCCTATATACAGCTAGATACCAAGAGTGGAATGGAATGATTTCCCTCGGAATGGGGAAAAGCGCGGGCCATCCCTCATTTGCGTAGTAGTGGAGAAGAAGGAGGACGCCGCTGCTAAACTTCAGCGCTGAAGAGGACGCATTGCGTGCGTGCCGATGGTCACGGCTGCAGGTGGACTCGGTGGAATAGATCCAGATGGAATCATATTTAAGCTCACTGTATCGTTCCAGCTTATCACCTACAGAGTTTAACGATGGTACAAGCGCTGTCGCTCAATGACATGCAAGCAACTATATATTTGCTTGCTTGCTAGCTGCTCTTGTTCCTTGCTGCGGACAACTTCATCCTCGAGTTTAACCTTGTGATCGACCTTGTTGTGATCGTTCGAAAAGAGCTTCCATCAAGTACAGATGGCTCAGATGCAGGCTTTGGGGTGCTGATCTTCAATCTGAAGTAGTCCTGATTAACCTCAAAAAGCACGAGTTTCAAAACTTGTAGTCCAGGCACTAGACATGCTTGTTACGGCAGCAGTGTGTCACAAAATGGGCTCTGCCGCGGCTGTTTGCTGTTTACATGCACAGGCCTCGTCGCCGATGGTCAGCAGTGGATTTTGAGGTGAATTCTTCACTCACGTGAAAGGAGAAGTGAAGCTCGCTTATTTCGGGCTAGGAATCTATAAATTTCTTTGTGGTGAGTGCTCCTCAAAGCGAGCTATAACGAAGTTTTCCACAGATTCGGACGTCTGAGTTTTCGTGGATGGATGGAACATACATGATCCGGATTTCCTGCGATGTTTCCTGTACTCCAAAGGAACCCGAATGTGAACGATTTCCCTCTGGTTACAGGACTTGACCACGAAACAAATCCCACTACCTGACTTCAACGTCCGAGCTGAACTCGCACGGACGTCTTCATCTCTTGAACCTCGTGGCCGAGCTATCATCCACCTCTCCTTCGCGACTCGAAAGGCATCAGCGAGGCCGTAGGCGAGGCGAAGACAGGGCGTGGGCGTGTCATTAGACTCGGCCGAATCAGCGTGGCCTATCATCAGGAGGCGGAATCAGCACAGTTGAGCCGGCTGTGGCCGCTCCCTCAGGGACCATGGGCACTCACCTGAAGACGAGGTCTTGCCATCAACCACAGAATCTCTGTATAACTCAAATGCCAGCAAATATTTATATTCCTTCAGAACTCCCTGATCGACTGCTATGTCTCATGTTCTCTAAACAATAGTACTGCTGAATCAGTCAGATCCTAAAGCGCAGGAATGAAAAAGACTCACAGATTGAGACACCTGTGTAAATGATAAATATGACCACCTCGGATGGCAGACCAGGAGTAGATCGTAAGTCACAAACGGTGAACGTTTTGGTCGAGGCTATTCATCTCATATGACACTCAGATGATGTCGGCGGGTACGTCGTCAGTGTACGTGATCGTTGTTCAGAGCGTTGTTTTCAACTTCTTTAGACCTGCGTCAACCCCTTAGGCAACTCGACCTCTGAACGCTGGTCAAGGAATTGTAAAAGGCAAAATAAAGATTCTAATATGAATAAAAAAACCCAACAAGCTGAAGGTTTATACAGTGCAGAATCTATTCGGCGAAGCTGAGTTGGCGTGAAATAACAGCTCAGTGTCGACGACGACCAACTAACTGCAGCTGCGATTGGAACGTTTGAACATCTGGACAAGTGCTGCAGTCGAGGGATCCTTACGAACAGTACATAACCACGTGAGCTGATCATGACTAACGGTAGTATACAAGCACCAGGAGCTGTGGAATAAGTGGATGCTCTGAGGGACTCTGCTCGGTTTCTACTGCCACCGTGGACACAAAACATAAGGTCGAAGCAGCAGTGCGCACCTTCTGTCGCGGGAGGGGGACGGAATAAATTGACATTTATTGTCAACGTCGTGAGTGGCCACTGAATATCTGGGCTGGGCTGGGCTGGGCTTCCGGTTATCGCGCAGGAGGAACCTAGGACGTTCAGACTCATGCTCCTTAGAACACTTTCATCGCTGTAAAGCCAAGTGCTACCGAAACGTCCGTCTGGACATTGTAGAATAACGGTAACTGCGCTTCTCGATCGATTTGGTGCTGTCTGGTTATTTCTCTATTTCCATCTGAATGTGAAGTTAATTTCAAGACACACGAACCAGTAAGTGGTTCCGTACTTCAAAGTAATTTCCATGTTTCGCGTAAATAGTCATTGTTTTTATGAATACCTACTACTCTCTCTCTCTCTCTCTCTATATATATATATATATATATATATAGAGTACAATTCGTCAAGCTTTGCCCTTCAGCACATCTGAAACTCTGTAGGTCCATAACATTGCTGTTCACTTGAAGATCAAGGTTCTTCATACCAAGAACCAGTACTTCCTGAACCTTGGCAGTGGACCAAGTAGTACAAAAGCACCCTCAAGCTTCGCAGCACAAGCCGCCTTAACATATGAGACAGCGAGGTGCGCCGAAAACTTATTAAAATGTTCTTGAAATCTTGTCTGTTGAATATTTTGAGATGATATATCACAATAGTCATCTAGACGAGCAGCTCTCTTCCTACTGCAGGTTATCTAGACCTCTCAACCTGTTTCTCGTTAAGATGGATTCTCTCTAATGTACCGCATGCTGAGGTAAGGGATCCAGATTAGTTCGTTATTGGGAGCAATTGTGGACGAATACCACCATGAATGTGACGGCAGACTCACCTGTAAAGGTAAAGCACGCAAAAATATCCTGGTGATTTGTTTGGCCACGAGAATCTCCTTCTCGAAAACATATTCTGTGGTACTGGAATTTGGTTCCTCTTCTGTCCTCCGACATATTATGACAAGCGCTGATCTTTATTAAAATCCTGGCAGCGAAATTTCGGAGAAGTAAGAGCGAGAAATTATCTACAAATTTCATCGATATTGTAGGTCTGATATTCAGCCACATCTTTTCGAACCAGATACTATCATAGTAAAGGTCCTGCGATGTAGCCAGAGACACAATATTTTGCTTCTTGTTTTGGACATGCATTTAACAGCAACGTGATTACTGTCATTACACATGTTCTATTGAGGCTAACTAGCTCCTCTGGTGCTTTTCAAGTTTTGAGTGAGTATGACTTGGCGTGGAGTCAAGACACTTCGTTGACTTAAGTTTCTAACAGACAAGAGAAATGTCAACTCGCAATTACAGCTTCCATAACTAAATCCCAGAGCTAGATCGGGAGGCAGTTCGATCAGAGCCGGACACATTTCTCGAAATTTACTCCAGTGTGTAAGGATGAATTGTTATAAATTTCTAAAAGAATGACCGTTTCTGATTAATAGTCTTGAAGAGGACCTTTAAGCAGCTGAAATCCATCCACCAGACTAATGCTAGCACTCCGATTGCAAGAGATTGTCCAGGTGCACTACAAAACAAACATAGTTGACGAGACAGTTGCCAAGAGACATGTAGGTTGCTCCTCGTTTCCTACCATTGAGAAGGAATCAGTTCTCCTGGTATAAGATCAACTCGTTAGTAGAAGACTTCATGCTTACATCAGGCAGACCGGCTTAAATAGCTGTTGTATTGCAATCACGCCAGAACGAGGTTCCATTCAATTCAAGCAGCCCTTCCACATACGTCCCGTGCGCTTTTTGACTTTACGACAGGCACATGTTCTTACGGTCACTGAGTCAGAAACATAGAATTTCATGCTCATTTGTGACCATTCATGAATTTATAAAGCTTTTATTAAGTCTAGCGTTGGATGGTTTTTGCCGTGGCATAGAATCCGGAGCGTGCCCATGAACCTCACGTGGTGTGGTCCACTCACCTTCAAGGTTTTGATCCATAGGCCCTTATGAGAAATATAGAGACCACAGACGTATGTACGAATCTCTCAATGCAAATTGATTCACCTGACGTCAAATGTCGAAGAATGACTAGTTTCCCTCATATAAGTGACAATTCAAAGTCAAATAAGAAAGGTTTTGCTGAAACTTGGAAAAGGTGGTTAACTTCTGATATCCACTGGCAGCTTCTGCAATGTCATTTCTTTCTGTAGACTAGTACTACATCATGAACCTCAATCTATCATAGTCAATACGGCGAGAAAATTGTCAACTTCTGTATAGGGTACACTGTTGAGCTTCTGTCTAGGGTACACTGTTGTACTTCTGTCTAGGGTACACTTCTGTGTAGGGACCATTTGTGCTCTATTTTGTACTTGTGGCCGGTGCGGTTTTACACTAGCTAAGTTTATTTGGATAACTGACCAGAATAATAACAACGAAATTATATGATCTGGACATGTTCCAAGTTTGTGAATCCATAAACCTTACTACGTTAACTATGCTTAAAATGACAGAAACAAGTATCAGCCTTACACCAATCGATGAAATTAATTTACACACAGAGGTGTTATACAGATTTGTATCCATCGACATATAAAGGTTTCAGATATTATTTTCTCAGTTGGTCTATTTTGGCCCATATCTTATGATGACACCACGTTAAATGACTTACATGGTCATGATGGCACAGTAAGATACAGTCCAATAGACACGTCCGAACAAATTTAGGGGCGTCTTTGTTTTGACCACACCTATACAATGTGCACGAGTGTGGATGATCACCTCCAAGTAAAGAGGTGCACTTCCGAAGAATCCTCCAGTTGTACAATCTTGGAAGAATAGTACGTCCATATCTGGCTCTAAAATGACCTCCTTAGAACCCTGATCGACTATTATACACTATAATCTGCTCTAAGTTCAATGATCTGCTCTAACAGTATGTTGAAGTGACCACCTAATTTAGTGTTCTAAAGGGTGTTAAGCTGTGTCTTAGGCAGAAAATTGGATGAATATTTGATGTGACTAGAAGTTTTGGATAAGGACTGAAATTACCATTAAGAGGAGACTACCGTAAAGAGTAGATAGCTAAGATAGAGTCGTCACAATGTGGGCCCCTGTCGACCCTCTTTCGATGAAGCCACGAATGGTGACAGGAGTCGCTAGAGAGTGGCCGTATTTCAAAGTGAAAAAGCAATGAAAAGGCAAAACTGCTTTCTCTTGTCTATGTTGGGAATCTACGTATACACTCTTCAAAGAATTAGGACTCTGTTCCCACAGAAATAGGTGATGTTCATGCATGCACTTGTGAGTTAACTGACACATTATGCTCAAACATATCCACACATTCTCGTCCCTTGACTCTTTCGATCGAGGCTTCCCAGCGACAATCACCTTCGAGAGTGCACACTCCTTCCGTTCCCGGGAGATTTTTGCCAATCAGCCGGTGGATCGATCAGAAGGGTTGCCTCGATGTCGTCGCAGCTCAATCCTGCCCCCCGCCAACGGCCCCAATAGGACTCAGATGGTGGCATTCATAAACACTACTGTCTACTACTGTGATTCACATGTATGTCCTTCGCTTTCCTATGTGCGCTGATTTTACCATTCTCACCGTATGGAGCTCTCCGCCGCCGGGAACACGAGCTGAACTCCGCGTTCCGGCGGCTTCTCTAGTAGCAGTCCAACAACTGAGGCCCGTAAGTACATGCTTCGGAGGTTCAGATTCTTCCTACCATGCCCTGCCAGGCCAGGCCCGAGCTCTAGATTTAAGGGAACTCGAAGCCTCCACCTGCGGACCCGATGGTGGAGTTGGCAGGAGGATTGATAGTGACCCACAGGAGGGAGATGACGATAGCCAGCAGGCCGGACCAGACGTAGACGATGGTGGGAGTGCGGCCTCTCCTGCCCATCAGACCCTTGGCGAAGGGATACATGTGGGTCAGCACCCAGACGCTGAAGAACACACCTCCCACCAGCTTACTCCACTGCGGAATCGTGCTGTACAATGTACGCGAAATGGCCACGGCGATGGCGATCATATTGACGAGCATGATAGTGATGGGGGGGATCATGAGCGCGGTCCATTTCACGACGTAGAGGTCTGCGAACTCATCGTCGACCTCATCTCCTCCGGATTTGGTGGTCAGCGTGAACGAAATCTCCACACCGGCGATGACTTTGAGTAAACCTTGGATGACAGCTGCAAGATGAGCACTCGTCCCTCCGATGACCCAAAACTGCTCGTTCCTCCACCACTCTTCCAGCGTGATCCCGGACCACTTCACCTCGAGGATAGCCAGGGAGCAAAGGCAGACGGAGATGGTGAACAGGTACACCAAGAAGGTGACGTTCAGCGTCTGCACGATGAATTGCCCCGAGAAGAGCGAGAGCGCCGGCAGGAAGCAGTAGACGATCAGGAAGATCGAGGTGAAGGGGTACACGCCGACGTTCAGGTACGCCACGCGCTGCAGAATCTTCATGTGCGAGTTGGCGAAAATGGCGTTATTCTTCGAGAAGAAAATCTCGACGGACCCCGTGGCCCAACGGAGCACTTGATGCAGTCGATCCGTCAGATTGATGGGCGCAGTTCCTCGGAAGGCATCCCTCTTGGTGACGCAGTAGATGGATTTCCAACCACGGTTGTGCATCCTGAACCCGGTGACCACATCCTCCGTGACGGACCCGTAAATCCACCCCACACGGTCGCCCCACTCGGTCTTGTCCTCGTAGAAGCACGAGATGACGTTGATGGCCTCGGCCACCGTGGCAGCGTCCAGCGGCTCGCGGGGTCCGGTGAGAGAACCGGGAGGTCTTCCGTTGGTGATACCCTGGTCGGCCAGAGGCTTACCGGCGAATTCCGCCGCGGCGATGGACTCGACGAACGCCATGGACGCGCCGTACTGCTTCGGAAGCAGGCCCCGAGAATCCAGAATCTCGGCGTCCTCGTCGTCCTCCTCGAGCCCAGCGGCGGCGTTCAGATTGGCCTTGGCGAGGCCGGAGCGCCTGTTCTTCTTTTTCTTCAGCTTTCTGTTCTTCTTCTTGTCCCCTCCGCAGCACGCGTTCCAGATGGTATGGTCCTTAGGAACTCGAGGAGGGTCGATCCCGTAGAGGGCCGTCCTTCGGAAGCAGCACCCAGTTCCGACGTAGACCGGGCCCTGCAGCCCATCCAGGGCTCGCATGTTCACGTCGAAAAACACGGTGTTCCGATTGGCGTACCGATCGCTGGGATCGACGCCCTCGAACCGCTGTGGGAACTGGACGTAGCAGATTCTGTCACCGCCGCGGTCCATCATGAAGCAAATGGCCTCGCGCATGGCCAGCGAGTTGTAGATGTAATGATCGCAATCGAGATTGAGGATGAAGGGTCCGTTGGACATGACGGCGCTGGTGCGCACCAGAGCGTTCATGGCCCCGGCCTTCTTGTTGTGGTCGTAGCCGGGCCTTTTCTCACGGGAAACGTACACCAGCATCGGCAGGCGGATGTCGATGTCCGTGGTGTCGATGAGGTTCTCCTCGTCGTTGCTCCCGTAGATGGGGTCGTTGCCCGGGGGCGCCAGCATGACCTGGATGATGCCAGCGTGGTCGCCACGCCCGTGCTCCTTGCTCGAAACGGACCACGTCCCGGGCCAGTGAGTACCGTCGGACATCCACGTGGCCTTAACGACCTGCAGCGGCTGCGACAGATCGGCCCCCGACTCCATCTGCGCCCTCTTGGCGCGGATCTCGTCGTGCGCATTGTAGGCGTCCGATCGCCGCCTGATGGCCTCGTTCAGCCCGTTCACCCGGACCTTGAACTCGTCGTACTCGCGCTTCACCCTCCGGCGGTCCTTCACGAAGTCCAACCGCTTCTTGCCCTTCGTGGGGTCGCCGCGCTGCAGGAAGTAGGAGTCGGGATTGCGCGGCTCGATGGCGTGCTTCCGGCAGAAGGGAACCCAGACCCGCGCGAATGTGGCCGTCTCGGCCAGCGCCTCGAACGACAGCAGAGCGCCACCGTCATCTGACAGGTAGCAGGCCAGTTTCTCCACCGGGTACTCGGCCGCGAGGATGGAGAAGATGGTGTTTCCGGTGACGAGAGGGGGCTCCTTCTCGGGATCGGCACTGGACACGAACACGTCCATTCCCGGCAGATCTGATCGCCCTCGAGGGTTCTCGGGGGAGACCGACTCGAATCGTTCCTTGAGCACGGCGAGATCGGTCGACCGGTTGACCGGGAACAGCTTGGGCAGCTGGTCGAGAATCCACGAGAAGGCGAACCAGATCTCGCACACCACGGACATGCCCCAGAGCCAGAGCGCGTCCTTGTTGGGGTTCTGAATTCGCCAGGCCAGGAAGAATCCCAGCACCACGAGCCGCAGCAGGGCGAGAAATCGGTAAGGACTGATGACTCCGGCTGGAATCGCGAGCTTGCGCGTCAGGGGCTTGCGATTCTTCTCCTGGAATATGGGCTGGGGCGGTCCGCCCATGCTGCCCCCGCCGCCGCCGTCTCCTCCCATGTACGAGTCGTCTTTCGGCCACAGCGCGTTTCCATAGCCGTAGGTCCCCTTCGTCTCGTACAACCACCGCGCGTGATCGAAGTTTTGCTCGTTGCTCTTCTGCTGCTGCTGCGTGAGCATGGTGGGCTTATTGAGAAGTGACAGTCTCCTCTCCATCTTCCCCGAGTCCGCATTCCCGTACTTGGGCCTCCGCTCCGGCAGATTGCCCACTCGGTCCTCGTCTCCCGATCCACCATCCGCGGCCTCGTGATCCTCGTGCCTGTACTCATCCTTGCAGCCGGGGCATCTGCCTGCGCCGTTCAGAGCATCGTAGTAGCAATCACGACAAATTTTGAAGTTACAATCGCAGGGGAACACGTCGTCCCCTCGCTCGTCGCGCATGGTCTTGCCATCGCAGTCCTCGACTGCGCATGTATTCCCGCCTTTGTCATGACCCCAGCCCTGCGCCTTATAACTACTATTGAACATTGTGCACACCGCCTCTCGCCCCCCAGCAGCAGCAGCACCAAGTCCTGGTCCTGGTCCCGGTCCCGATTCACCCCCTAACCTACAGAGCTAAGCTATGACTTGCCGTCAAGAACAAAAAAGAATCCGTAGCATTAGATCCCCACTAAGCTCGCATGAAGGGCGAGCGACGAGCCTGCGCTGCGCTGAGCTCGAGCCTGAGGTGCTTCTCGAATCGTCTGTCGATAATTTCACTAGAGAATGTTTCGAGTCGCTTACCTCGCTGGCTAGTTAGCACTCAAATCCTCCGTGCCCAGGGCTGCATAGAACTCACAACATTGCCTCGCCGGGGAGCTCGATGTGTCACTTCCAGTCTACTCCCCTACGACAAGCTCACTCGATGCAACTACCGAAAGTCGCTCAGGGCTGAGCGACTTAGCGCGCGCTGTGTCGAGATGATACGAGGAAGAGGAGAGTGAGACCGAGGAAGGACATGTAAGAGGGCCGGAGAGCATGAGGATCCGGAGTGAGTAGGACGGGTACTCAATACGTAAAAGTCAATCGGTCAGGGGGGGAATCAAGGCGAACGTAGTCTCCGGGAGTGATTAGCGCGGGCCATACCTCAACTTCGTTGCCGTGGAGAAAATGGCTTGGACGCTAGATTTCAGCACGAAGGAGGACGACGTTTTGAGTGAGTGCCGATGGTCGCGCCAGCAGCTGGGCACCGTTTATTCCAGATGGAAATCAACATCAAACAGTGAATCCATAATGGATCGCTCAGTGGCCATCGCTGGTGGAACTGCTGTAACTCAGTGGCAGGAACAAGTACGCTCGCTGCTCTTGCATCATGCTGAGCACATCGTCAAATCTACGATACGAGCTGTCAGCCCGAGCATTATTCCATCTTCATGCGCGAAAACATCTGGATGGAACACATGCTGAAGGGCTGGTTGGGACGGCAAACCCGATTACCGTCCATCGTATCCTTCCATTCTACTAAGAGCCATGCTTTTCCTCATAACACAAAAGATCCGTAAATGCTGACCTGACGTTTGACTCATCATTTGACCACAACAGGAAAGGACTAAAAGTTTGCTTCATTTCATGTTAGACTAAGTCGTTATAGAGAATGTTTCAGTTTATGAAAGAGTTTTATCAGTCGAAAGAAAACGTCGAAAAGGTCTCGCTTGTCTATATCTCGAGAGTAATGAATTCTGCGACGGTTTTTCTAAAATTCTCCCAATTTGAGTTATCAGAAGCACCTTACAGGCTGCACGTTCTCACGAGATGGAAGGAGAGCATAAATGTCGGGTTTTGATGCATAGCTCATGTGCATACCAACATCAACAGCTTTCTGCAGTTACTGTGGCGTTTCCAGTCGACAGAATAATCAAGCTTTTTCATAAACTCCTCATAAAGATGATTCATTCTGCATCTCGGTTTCCTAGCATGAGGAATGTCACTTTGTGTCACAGAGATTGGGGTTACATCTCACGGACACGTGCCAACTGTATCAACAATTCAGTCCCAAAAAGCCTCACGGTAAAGATCTCAGTCCAACTATACCTCGCGAATGCACAGGCATCAGCGAGGCCGTAGGCGATGTGAAGAGCAAGCGTGGCCAGCTCATGAGACTCGGGCGAATCAGCGTGACCGGATGGAATCTCAGATCCACAAATGGAATCAGTGTACATTTCCAGCAGGCCCACTAGTAGCAGGTCCTTTCACTATTATGAAACCTTGTGAATCTGATCACTAACCAGATACTGTCGGTGACATAACAGCCGATCTGAGCCTCATGTACTTTCAGTTACAACCTGCAAGATAGCCCTAAAGTCTTGAACTTTAGTGGTCAGACGCATTATCAGTCACCGGGTGAGGTCCGGACTCCCATTTTTCTGTGAGAAAGTCATTTATTGTCGACGATGTGTCGCATAATTTGCTAACGAAACGTTGCAAATTGCCAAGTCTCTTGGCGTACTCCAGCACTATCAGATCGTGGACAAGATGGGATCTTCGAATCATTCTTCTTAGCTTGTGTTGTGGTGTACATAGTCGGGAATCGTTTTGACTGAGCTACAGCTCTTCGAACAGCTCAGTCTGACAGAAACTATATAAAACTGAACCTTCGTCACAAGGTTTGAGCATGTTAGAGAAGTTGACCTATGCTCCACCCGTTCGGGAACTCCATGATCCGAAATACATGCGTATTCCCTTCGTATAAAAGTGATCCTATGAATTGAGTCCATAAGACATTTAAGCCTTTCTTCGAAAATTCCAGTTTTACAGGCAAGTTCCCTTATTCTGTCATCTGAATGTGCTCAGGCACAGTACATCCACACGATGAATTTGACAATTTCAAAAGCTTGAGGTTATCAAACTTTCTTCCGAGCAGAGACAAGGCTTCAACTTTAACGATATCTTCTGACAGATTGTCCAGTTTCTGCAGAGATTCTGAATTTGAGAATATTTGACCTGGTTTTCCATGAACAGTCTAGTAGACGCGTTTCTGGGCTAGTTTGGCACTTGTAAGCATTCGCTTTCGCCAGTCTAGTCATGACTGGAGTGAATACAAGGTTCATACTTCCTGTATTAGAGACAGGACAAGATATCGTACTAGGACAGAAAATTGAATTCTCAAATTTCTGAAGGTGGCAAAATTCCGACAAGACCAGAGAATCGAATGGCGTGTCGAAAACAGTCTTCGTTCGCAGTTCGGACTCTTCATGCGAAGAACTGAGCATCCGGTGAAGGACATCTTTATTGAGATGTTGAATAATTGCCTCCACTTATACTCGTGCGAGAGCTACACACCCTCAAAATGAACACGCTGGAGAAATCACTCACGACCCTCGGCCGCGGTGGAATATTATCTACTTCATCGTAAACGAAAACTTGTACGGTGTATTTCGTCAAGTCACAGAACGGGAACTTAGCATTAAGGACACAAGATATGGCAAATTTGTGGACGTTAACGACCAGTTCGTCCATTGAGTGCAATTAGCTTGCTCTCTTGCATGATCGATGTCAAGCAGAAAGGTCGATACCCGAATGCATCCACTGAAAGCCTCGAATAGTTGATCGTGCAATCTCATGCGGAGAGGAGAAGGCAGTCTCTGTAACAAAACAAGACAGATAGAGAACGTCGTTAGTTGCAGTTTCACATCAGATTTTCGCAATAACCAGTTAAAAATAAACGAAACTCAAATTTATACATGACATAAAAAATTAATTTCATGGTCGACATGAATTCTCCATTCGAGAAGCAGAAGGGGAAAATTGCACTGTTCATGCAAGTTCCAATGACTAAGTTGAAAGTACGCTTTAAGTAGCAAGTATTCGACGAACCAGTTTCTCGTATCAACTGTCAGTAGATGTCATGCCAGGAACATAAACACCTTGTCTGACGCCATTGAACGCTCTATTCTCGCTTCAATAATGAACTGATCATTGAAGTCATATCGTTAAAATAAAAATGAACCTCTGGTCTCGATTCTCTTTACTATGTTCCGTGCTTGTATGTGACTTGCGCTTAGAAGAAAATGCAATTTGCCACTACAGATGTCACATGTGTAAAATCTCACCTATATAGATGTAGAAACTATGCAATATAGGTTTTATCTATTAGACTTCTGGAGTAGAATTTTAATATCCTATTTTGTATTTGAATGTTTTATTTACTTATGGAATCTTATATTGTATCACTTTAGTAATGTGACAATTTCGAGCTCCATTAAATCCAAAATCTGATATTTGCTACTTTATTTCTTTCAAATTATCATCAGATTAAAATTTATTGCCCAATCATACAGTCTTATCTTAATGGGATAATATTCTCTTTGACAACAAGAAAAATGTAGGTGTAGTTTAATCGAATGTAAATGAAATTCTCAAAGACAAAGTTTTGCAGGAGAACTGTTTGTTAGATCATGTTTGACATATTGTTCAACATGAACCCATAATGGAAGCTAGATATTAGGATATATGCTACATACATGACATTTGTGGTCTTCTTTTCCGCAAAAAAGTTTCGACTTTAGCATTTTATATCGTTTCGCTTGGTATGCTAGTAAATATTTTGTCATATAAACTGTAAATTATTTTAAATCACGCAAACTTATTAGTATTCTGGCCTTGAATAATATTTGAAATCAAATATTATCCAATTTCCAATTTAGAGAAAATACCTTTTAATATCATCAACCTCCAAGTATCAAGAGTTTGATTGTATACTCAGTAGGATAACAATAGATTATTTATTATTTTAAGCAATATTTAAGGTAGAAAAATAGGAAATCTTATATGTTTTTCAGAATCGAGTTTCAATTCAGTGTATAAAGATATGTACTCTTAAGGAATAATTGGTCATAAGAGATTTTGCGATAATGAAACATTATTATTTTTTCTTTCAAACATAATTTGAGTGTTAGTGTTTTCTTATATGAAATCAATACAAAATAAAAACTGCCTTCTAACCCTTGTCCAAGTAGAAGTCAACTTGTCTTTTTTCTTCTGCAGAGTTTGAAAGTGAGTTCATATCTTTTGCATTTTGTGAGTTACTCATGCACTTCTTGGCCGGTTATGGTGCAAAATGTTATGCAGGTTAGCTGGAGGTACGGTTTCCTTGCAAAGGTAGAAAGTGCACGAAAGGTGTCATACGTTAAAACCGAGCGAGCACATCAATACTAGGATTTGTTTTCTGGATACACAATTTTTTATTGCGGAAATAATTTCAAATGAATGTAACTTACAGTGACATATTTCTTAAAACCAAAACGTATGATACTCAAAGACTACACACCAACACCTTGTTAAGAAATATTGATTAGAAAGCTGTTGAAGAAGAAGATTCATATGCAACATTGATTAACTTTGAACAAATCAATGTTCGAATTTTTGAACTCTTTTGAAAATTTTCTCTTTAATGCACTAGAAATGTAAATATCCTGTTTCACAACTTCCTACCTTTGGTTGAGAAGAAGAGTCCACGAGAGGAAAGACGCAATCTAACGTCTTAACGAAGTTAATGTATTGGAATTTTGACTAACTCATAATCTAAGTAAAACAAAAGTGACATAAGATGTTTATCTAATGTCACTTATCTTCCTAAGATCCCGCGTAAAGAAAGTGACGGATGGCGAAGATTTCGGAAGTAAGCATGCTAATAAAAGAGGAAAACAATTCAATGCGTACTTCTAGCTCAGTATAAATAAGAGAATTATCAAAACTAATAATTGGACACTCAACTTGAGAAATGGAAATGAAAGAACTAACTGGATAGAAGATTAAAATATTGGGTGCAAGTTGACCATGAATAGAAATAGTGACGGGGAGGATAAGGTGCTGAAGAACTAGAAGCTGATTTGAATCTTCGACAAAGATTCTAAGGAAGGACCAAATTTAGTACCAGCTCGATATCTTTTGGCTCTGCATGGAATTCTCTTGCCTTTGCTTTGTTTACCATCTCGTTTATATTCCCAGTTCACATTCTCTCTCATCAAAAAGTAAAATCGGTTCGATTTATATTTTAATTAGCTATTTATTAACATAAATGGCAGTGAAATCCATCTTATTTTTAGAAATTGTAGCATATAAGTATATAGTAGAAATGCATATCTAACCAACTGGTAGCAATTATTTAGGTTGAGCTGATTATTGAGATGAGATCATGGGAATTTCAATTTCATTCAGAGGATTTTATACCAATAAATATGACAGTCTTCACTTACCTGTAGCAAAGTGCAATTATATCACTAAAGTAGCAATGTTCATTAACTGAGTGATTAGGAAGATTTTCCGCTCGAAAATTGATTCATAATTCGAGCTAGTGATACATTTCGTGTTCCAAAACTGGATGATGAAGTGACGAAAGGTAAAGCTAAGCATGTTTTGACTACTAAGGTACATTGGTATGAGGCATGGTCTAAAATCACATTCAGGTACCTATCAAATATGGAATCAATCTGGAATCAATCTGCAGGAAGTAATCACGACTGGTGCTAGCAGGGGCTGCAATCACAAACAACCTAATTATAGAGTAATACGTCTTATTTAATATGTAAAATATGCATTAAGTACAATTAGAAGAATGAAGCATCTGTGTCGAGATCCAAGTTTTGCAAACGCACCTGAAACTCTCGATGACAGCCTGTTCTGCAGTGACGATTACCATGACTGTAAATAATTACTATTCCACGCTTTGAATGATTCCTAGTCAAGAATGATCCTCAAGACCAAAGGAAGGTGGGGATAGTCGCTCAAAGAAAGAAAATGAACATTAAAACCAGATTTTCTGTTTTCTGTAAATTCTGGAAAAACTTGATGATTTATAACAATGTCATAGCAAGATAAAGTAAGAAACTTCAATCTTCAAGAACCTACGTTATTGACAGCGCAATCCACCGTTAAAAGAAGGGAAGCGATGATTTTATCTACGAACATAGATTTTTAACCTTACAGGAAGGAAGAATTTTCGACAATGCCGAAATAATTCGTTGGTTTGACGGACATATTCGAGACAAACCTTAGAGAGGAAACGGATTTTCCATTCACGAAAAGTATTAGCTCAGCGATCATAGACCTAGGAGTAACTCTACCAACTTCATCGAAAGATGGGGGACTCTCCTCTATAATTTACATGCAAAATCTGAAAGCAACTTCGACTGAGAGAATTCGTTACCTGCCCTTCATTTGCAGCTTTGACGATTCGTGGAGCAAGTCCTGAGGCTCTCTTCAATTCTCTATGGCCAAGTCCATGAACACAAGTCTCTTCAAACCCCAACCGATGGAAGATTCAAGGCCTCCAGATTTCACCGTGCATTCTACAACATCAAAAGTATTCAGCTCTAGTGCAGCCAACGAAGAGAGTTCAACAAATCACCAAACGACATTCGTCTTGATAGAAAAGAATCAGCGACATGTTCTTGTGTCCAGAACATGGATACATGCAGCTAAAATCGTTTCTGAAAGCAATCAAATTGTTGGATTCATGCATTTGATCCAGTCTCTTCTGCTTTCTCGCTACTCCCCGAGTGCTTTCTCAGCTGCAAAGGAAACATGAGGATCCGTTTAGCATAATCTTTGATCCATTGCAAGAGATTGACGAAGCGCCAGGTATCAGAATTCGATCCCTCTTAGAGCACATTGGACTGGCAAGAGTAAATCGCCTCATTCTCATTCTCGATGTGTCGCCTCAGCCATGCCTTGCGGGCTGTCCTTTGCCAACCCCTTCGAGCTGGGCTGGCAGGTGAGGTTGCATGTGACTAGTTCACACTATCCTATCTTCTACTGTCCGTTCTCACGTTGGAAAGGTTTGTGAGTGAGATCTAATGCAATGTCAATGGATCGGACATCCTACTAGCTGGGAGGCCAAGATTTATACGATTGTGTCGGAAGGCGAAAGCAAGCTTACATGTACAACAAGTCAAATGGAGCCTGTATGCCAACACGGGTGATGGCCTTCAATAAAATACTGCGTGGCCTCAAGAACATGTGGGAGTTGCCTGGTGGGAGTTTGGAGTAATGAGCATTCACAGTGGAAGTCTTTTGTAGACACGTATTCGGTCGTGATATAACCCTTTATATCGTCTTATGGAGATATATGCAGGCAAATCCCGGTTGAGTTCCATAGTCCGATCTCAGCTTGTAGCTAATGGAGCTATAATTCATGTGAGACGTGCCATCTATAAAAGGCTGTACATTCAAGTTTCTAACTTGTTTGAATGGAATGTGGGATTATTGAAAGCGAATCTTTTGATTTAAGAACTTCCTTCTCCGGCACTTCTGCAGATTTCCGCTCCACCACGATTTGATAGTGATGGAGTAGCGCTGTTGCAATGAGAAAATGCAAAGATCAAATCTAAGCTCGCTCACAAACATCGCCGAGATTTATGACTGTGCATCGGTAGGGGATCAATATTTTGGAACCTTTTCCGCTATAGAATATGAACAGCAGTATTTGGTGGGTCCAAGGGCCGAGCAAGCCACAACATCCGGCCGCACACCAGTGGACGGTGTCAACTTGTGACCGTGAGACCTGAAAAGCTGAGCAGTGTCTGAAAAACATGAGACATGGTCATTGGGAATTCTCACCGACAAGAATCGGTTATCCTAGTAATTTCAGCTGAAGATTCTCAAATAATGGCATGCGATACCTCGTTTCAAGGGCGTTCACTGCTGTGGTGGCCCGCTATGGGACAAACCTGGCAGATTAGAATACCAAATAGATTTATCTCTTGCTTCGAAGTCATGCCGATCGGCCATCGACAATGTAATAAGTTAGCCTTCTTTATTCTCTGCCTCGCCTAAATGACCAAATTTTTCGACCAAAAAAACCCCTACAAGCAATCGGACCCTACCAGTTGCGAGTTGCTTTCAGCACCAAGCCTGATCCGTACTTTACAGTCTTTTGATGCAACGATCTTAGCAGATGACAACACGCACGAATAATTGTATTGACGGAATATGAATTAAACTCTACTTGGGCCTTGATGACCGCAGCGTTGACGACGTTTCCATGATTAGCCAGTCAAACATCGTCCGAATAGACATGTTAAACATCAATCTCAAGCCACTTATCATCTGATAGTCTGATTGTCTATATCATATCTCGATGTTGTGAGCAGCATGATGGATGTGAGGGCAGCGAATAAATCGTTACTGGCTGGCCAATTCGATCCGTTCGAGGAACGAGGGCCGTGATCAGATAGCAAGCTGGTTCTGATAAACTTGAATCCCGTGTTCACGAGCAATCGATACCCAGGCCAGCTGAAGACATGGCGGGACTGTCGGCACGCACGTACCGTAGTTTCACCATGCCCAGCGCAGCCTAAGCCTTAATTCTGGACCTGGAGGGCAGGGCAGGGGATGGGATGCGATGGACCGCACTTTTCCTCAAGCCTCTCGGTCCCGGGAGAATGGTCAGCTCCCTCCGGATGGATTCCTCCGGATTCCTCCTCCCGTACATATATATACTGCCCAGATCGCAGTTCTCTTCACTCCATTCGCTCTCACTGGCCTTCCTCGTCTCTTCCAGCTCTTCCTTGTCGCATCTCGACTCAACTCAGCTTGCCAAGTCGCTCCGTGCCGAGGGACTCCGACGGCGTGTTGAGTCGAGGGAGAGACATTCAAGAAGAGTCGAGACAGGAAGAGGCAGCCTGAGGATTCTGAATTTAATGGTGGATGGAGTGCAGTAGCTAGGCGCTAGCAGTTGCATCCGTGCCATGGATCCGGAGTGATCGAATCCTTCGGGTACATTTGTATCCGACCACTTCGTGGAGTCCTGGAGAGGGATGCACACGCGACGAGCGGCTCAAGCAGAATCGGTCTGACTCGTAGCAGTCAGGCTCGGAGTTGTTTGGGCTGATTCATAAAATAAAAATGCTTCGAAAAGTCTGATTGAAAGATTAGTTCAGTTCGATCGTTCTGAATTAGGATCGGATTTTCGAGGGAGCCTGAGGGCGGATTAGAAAGAGTGTGGGCAGGTTGGTTAGATCGAGGTCGGGAAAAATGACGACGCCTCCAGGGGCCAAATCTATGAGGAGCATCACGAGCGCAAGCCTCACGAGCCCGAGGTCCAGCCACGTGCCGGAGAACACTCGCCGGACGACGAGCGGAAGGTACGTCTCGATCTCTCGAGAAGAGCTCGACCAGACCACGGACGTCGAGCGCGATGAGATTAGCGCCGAGACTCCTTACAGGGTGCAAATTCCGACGACCCCGGACAATCGGCCCTTGTCCGGGCCCGACTCTCCAGCGCGATCGGGGGCCAGCCCCGCTCAGCACCGGCAGAGCTCGGTCCGGCCGACGGTGCAGCAATTCGTGTCGAGCACGATGTTCACCGGAGGGTACAAGGCGCAGACCCGTGGGCATGTGCTGGAGCGCGTGACGGGGGAGAACGATCACGATCATCAGAAGGGCAGGGGCAGCACTTGCGCCGTCGGGGGCTGCGACGGAAAGACCATGAGGGACGTGGACGGGGAGGACATCTATCCGTGCAATTGCAACTTCAAAATTTGTCGAGATTGCTACTACGATGCTGTCCACAACGGAGGCCGCTGCCCCGGCTGCAAAGACGAGTACCTGACCGACCTTCTGGACGTCAACGGCGCGAGCGACGACGACAAGCAGCTCAAGGCCTCGGACCGCAAGGCTCTCCCGAGCCCTGAGTACGAGGAAGACGACGAGCTCGATAGGAAGGAGAGGAGCCTGTCCGTTCTCAAAAACCCCCCGCTCACCCTGAGCCAGCAGCACCCGGAGTTCGACCATCAGCGCTGGCTCTACGAGACCAAGGGCACGTACGGCTACGGGAACGCCGTCTGGCCCAAAGAGGCCGGCGGTGGCGGCGGCGACGGCACCACCGGCAAGGCCGGGGCCCCGGCGCCGGCGTTCAACGAGAAGAACCGGCGGCCTCTGACGCGGAAGCTGAACATCGCTGCCGGCGTCATCAGCCCGTACCGGTTCCTGGCGATGCTGCGTCTCGTGGTGCTGGGATTCTTCCTGGCCTGGCGAATTCAGAACCCGAACCGGGACGCGATGTGGCTCTGGGGGATGTCTGTGGTGTGCGAGATCTGGTTCGCGTTCTCGTGGATTCTCGACCAGCTGCCGAAGCTCAGCCCCGTGAACCGGGTGACGGACCTGTCCGTGCTCAAGGAGAAGTTCGAGAAGGTGTCGCCGGACAATCCTCTGGGCAAGTCGGACCTGCCGGGGATGGACGTATTCGTGTCGACGGCCGATCCCGAAAAGGAGCCCCCGCTCGTCACGGCCAACACCATCTTCTCCATCCTGGCCGCCGAGTACCCGGTCGAGAAGCTATCGTGCTACCTGTCGGACGACGGAGGCGCGCTGCTCTCGTTCGAGGCGCTGGCCGAGGCCGCTAGCTTCGCCCGCGTCTGGGTCCCGTTCTGCCGGAAGCACGCCATCGAGCCGCGCAACCCCGAGTCGTACTTCCTGACGCGCGGGGATCCGACCAAAGGGAAGGTGAGGATGGATTTCGTGAAGGACCGCCGGAGAGTGAAGCGCGAGTACGACGAGTTCAAGGTCCGCATCAACGGGTTGACGGAGGCCATCCGACGGCGATCCGACGCGTACAACGCGCACGAGGAGATCCGCGCCCGGCAAGCCCAGATTGAGCTCCGGGGCGACCCGACGCAGCCCCTGAACGTCCCCAAGGCGACCTGGATGGCCGACGGCACGCACTGGCCCGGAACGTGGGTCGTCTCCAGCAAGGAGCACAGCCGGGGCGACCACGCTGGCATCATCCAGGTCATGCTGGCGCCCCCGGGCAACGAGCCGATCCTGGGTAGCGCGGACGAGGAGAACCTGATCGACAGCAGCGACATTGACGTGCGCCTGCCGATGCTGGTGTACGTGTCTCGTGAGAAGAGGCCCGGCTACGACCACAACAAGAAGGCCGGGGCCATGAACGCGCTGGTGCGCACCAGCGCCATCATGTCCAACGGGCCCTTCATCCTCAATCTCGACTGCGATCACTACATCTACAACTCGCTGGCCATGCGCGAGGCCATGTGCTTCATGATGGACCGCGGCGGTGACCGGATCTGCTACGTCCAGTTCCCGCAGCGGTTCGAGGGCGTCGACCCCAGCGATCGGTACGCCAACCGGAACACCGTCTTCTTCGACGTGAACATGCGAGCCCTGGACGGACTGCAGGGCCCGGTCTACGTCGGGACCGGTACCTGCTTCCGCCGGATGGCGCTGTACGGGTTCGACCCTCCCCGCAACCCCAAGGAGCACACGCTCTGGAACTTCTGTTGCGGCGGCGACAAGAAGCAGCGGACCAAGAGGAAGAAGGACAAGGTGACGAAGATCAAGAGGGAGATCCAGGTGGCGAGCATGAACGGAGCGGCGGACGACGATGACGACGATGACGTGGTGGCCCGCGGCCTGCTCCCCAAGCAGTACGGGGCCTCGATGGCCTTCGTTGCGTCCATTCCCATCGCGGAGTTCGCCGGGCGGCCAGTCGCGGACCAGGGCATCCGCAACGGCAGGCCTGCGGGGTCGCTGAGGGGGCCGCGCGAGCCTCTCGACGCGGCCACGGTGGCCGAGGCCATCAACGTCATCTCGTGCTTCTACGAGGACAAGACGGAGTGGGGCGAGCGTGTCGGGTGGATTTATGGGTCCGTCACGGAGGATGTGGTTACCGGGTTCAGGATGCACAACCGTGGTTGGAAATCCATCTACTGCGTCACCAAGAGGGATGCCTTCCGAGGAACCGCGCCCATCAATCTGACGGATCGACTGCATCAGGTGCTCCGTTGGGCTACGGGGTCCGTCGAGATTTTCTTCTCGAAGAACAACGCCATTTTCGCCAACTCGCACATGAAGATTCTGCAGCGCGTGGCGTACCTGAACGTCGGCGTGTACCCCTTCACCTCGATCTTCCTGATCGTCTACTGCTTCCTGCCGGCGCTCTCGCTCTTCTCGGGCCAGTTCATCGTGGCGAGCTTGAACGTGACCTTCTTGGCGTACCTGCTCACCATCTCGGTCACTCTGCTGCTGCTGGCGCTGCTCGAGGTTCGATGGTCGAAGATCACGCTGGAAGAGTGGTGGAGGAACGAGCAGTTCTGGGTCATCGGAGGAACCAGCGCCCATCTCGCAGCCGTCATGCAGGGATTGCTCAAAGTCATCGCCGGGGTGGAGATTTCCTTCACGCTGACGACGAAATCCGGAGGAGACGACATCGACGATGAGTTCGCTGATCTTCACGTGGTGAAGTGGACTTTCCTCATGATCCCGCCCATCACCATTATGCTCGTCAATATCATCGCCATTGCCGTGGCAGTGTCCCGCACGCTGTACAGCACCATTCCCGAGTGGAGCAAGCTGGTCGGCGGTGTGTTCTTCAGTATCTGGGTGCTCACGCATCTGTATCCCTTCGCCAAGGGGCTCATGGGACGCCGAGGCCGCACTCCCACCATCGTGTACGTCTGGGCCGGCTTGTTGGCTATTGTCATCTCGCTTCTCTGGGTGACTCTCAGTCCTCCCTCCAATTCGCAAGGGCTCACCGGCAACAACTCGTTCCAGTTCCCTTGAGTTTTGAGGCTTGATGCATTCAGGAAGCGATTGCGACTGACAGAAAAGAAAACGCAAATAAGAACACTCTGCAGCTTCCTCGGCATCAAAGAGTCGGTCTAGAGTGGCTAACACATTCATCGTCGTCGTCGTCGTCATCGACCACGGATTCCAACGGTTTTCAAGTGCGCTGTGCCGTGGTTCTAATTGGATCGGAGGAGCGAGGGAATAAATCGATCGAGACGGCCCATCGGATCCGCAACTTTCTGAACTTCCAAACTTTTCCTTAACGTTCTGCCAATGAGAACACCAGAGAAAGAGAGAAAGAAATAAGGGTCAAGGGTGTGTGGATATGTGAGTGCACGAGTGTATATGAATATGAATATGCACATGTACATACATCATCTATTTCTGAGAGAACGGGGCCTAACTTCGAAAGTTTAGAAGAGTATAAATCGTTTCCAAAGTAGACAACGAAAGTGATAAGCCCGATCGGGTAGCTTGCGTCTGCATAGAATTTCCAACTGTTGTACAGACAACTGTTGTACAGACGATGTCATACTTTGGTGGCCAGTCACTAGAAATTGCTCCATCACACCTCATGATTGAGTCTCACTTCACTAGCTGTAGTTGAAAGCCTCTTGGACCTCGACAGAGAGACAACCTCCTCTCTCTTTCTGCGTAGACTCTAGATCTTAGCGTCTTAAACCCTGCGCTCTGACCTGGTCCCATTTCTCCTCTGCGTCACGATACCCTCGAAAATCCTTTCAACTGACTATTCTTTCATTCATTCTTTCATTCTTTCCGTCACTCCCCCATTGGGAACGCGATGCTGATGTACATTTTATACCACGCTCAGGTGGTCACTCCTGTATGGTCATTATGCATCCAGTGAGTTTAGCGCAGATTATGTATATAAGATGTACACTACACGGCCCTTACTAGAAGGCTCACCCTGTAAGTAGGACAATAATGGAGCCAGCCATGGCTGTATTATTTTTTTAATACTTGCAATCTATAAAAGATCCCTCCATCTGGAGACTTGGTAAAGCTCCTCCAGTTTTTAAACCCAGCGACCGTAGTGAACGCTTTCAAGCAATCATCCTATGATTATGCGATCTGGAAGTCAACAGAACAATGATGGGCAATGAGTAATACCCAGACGATCGACATGGAAGCAGACGATAAAAGCTTGTATGATACTTGCAACTTTTGCATCTGCTGGACGGAACTGCGACAGATGACATTCACTGGTCAGATTCGGTACAGAGATCTTTACATGCATCATGTCAGTTCAGGGACAAGGCCACACATTCAAGGATGGAAGCTATCCATAGAAAGGTCAGTTTGCAAAGATCTTTGGAATTATGGAGAAATTGAACTTCTCTAATGAGCCCTCAGACCACTGCCCTCGGCTTCACGAATTTAGCATAAGTCACGAGATCACCAGAACGACGAGCTTGGTGATGCATATTTACTGTCATGATTATGGTCTTTTTGTAGTTTCTCCGTGTAGATCTATTTCAGCCTTCAACCGTCTTGTATTGCATTTCCTCTCCGCTTGGACCTGACTTTACTTTGCACAATCATCTCAAAACAAAGGTCCGCGATTACCAATTAAGGAAAGTGTCATGCAGACCGATCAACAGGTTTAAATAGCAACCATTGCGAGGTAGCTTTTCGTAGACGACCAAGTGACGCTGTTCAGATTTTACAACAATCCGGCTGCGCACACATGGAATTGGTCGTCTTCATAATTTTCTGCGGTCGTTGTTAGATCCAGGAGTGGCCCGTGCGAAGCAGGGCTCCAGAGGCAACGATGGGATTACAGATAGCACATGAACACGAACAGTCAAATTTGCGATGACTAAAGGTGGAGTCCTCACCGCAGCATTCGCATAAAATACTTACTGCAATCTTTGTCCAGTAAGAAAGTAAGAAAGTCTTTGTAAAGTGATTGCTGACAATGGTGATATCTTGCATGATGCTGCAATCGTCGCGTTTTACCGAGTGCTAGACTCATATGCTTAAGCATTGTGGAAGTGGTATACACAGTAATATCTTTACAAAGGCATATCTGTGTAAAGATATTTACACAGATATACAATACAACATATAGGCTATATGGAATGTTGATGTTAATTTTTTCACGATACTATCACGAAAACATATAATTATTTGATTATTGCACGAATCCAACCTTTTGATTCTCCCACATCTAGCGCATGTATTGTTTCGGGGTTCAAAGCTCCATGCAATATATTTTCCAATTAAACATCTGTTTTCATAGAAAAAGCATGAATACATATTTCATCAAAACATAATTTCATGATGAGTTCGAAAAGGCACCAAGTGTGAACAACATCGGGGCCAAATTTAAGTTTTTTTTAATGTGATTTGAACACTAACCTTTGACAAAATAGTTTAACAAGTCAAAGCTTCATGAACATTACATATGCTTTAGTATCCAAAAAGTTGTCTCGCATATTTCATCAAGTCATATCAATGTCATTTAATAGTTGATGATAAGAAGTAAAATCAAACGAAGTTTATATTTTGCATTACAATACAAGTTTATAGTAATAAGTCAAGTTCGATGACACATTCATGTGGATGTGATCCATATTCAAAATTTGGCGAATTTTTATGGATGTTATTTATGGACATCTAAGCTAAACAACCCGGCTATTTTCAATCTCCATGAATCTCATCAGACTTGATTTCAAAAGACTTTTGAATATAAGAAAACAGGACTTTACGCAATCTTGAGTCATTTAGATTCTAGCAATGAGCGAGCTGAATTATTTTTTTCCAAAAAGGAATTTTTTTATTATTGAATTTGTCAATCTGGTCATGAAAGTGCTTTAATGATGTTAAGGGTATTTCAGCCACGCATTTGGATGTCCATGCAATAGGCTTTCTATCTCATATGGCCATCAACTGCCATTTGTTCAATTTAAAATAAGTCTTTGCTGTTTTAAGGCATTGGGTAGATTGAGCAAATGGATATTAGAATACCAGAATCCTACATACGTTGAAAAACACTTATCATGTATAGCACAACTTCGGAGTCGCACAATAAGCAAATAAATTGTGTTCTTTGAGCGTTAGTTCACCTTGCTTCTAGACTAAATTTGATTTCTTTTCTTTTGATTATATCTCATATATATGTTATGAAATGGATTAAAGAGCAAATCGCAGCATTTTTACGAACCAAATATGTTCTCTTATCTAAGACGTTTATGTATTTAAAGTTTTTTGAGTGGTTGAAATAATTTAAAAAAGATGAATTTATTATAAGGGGTCTTGAATGTAAATAATTAGTAGACGATAAAAATTATATAATCCCAAAATAAAATAATCAAATTGGAGTTATATGATGATGTGATTTATTTATACATCATAGCTTCTAGAACATTGCATACAGTTTGGATGACAATGTAATTTATGCGGAAACACTTATTATAACAATTCTCAAATATATTTTTACAATATTCAATATTGTGAGGATAGAAAGTGGTTAATTTTCTTCGGATCCTTTATACTTCTAAGTTGAGTGGATTGTTGTTTCTTAACTTCAAAATTTTTAAGAAATTCGGAGGAAATTACTTGATGTGACCTGGGGAAAGTCAAAACACTCATGGAATCTAACCGTTTTCATTTTACCCGATGACATCCCATGGTGGGGTAAAATGAAAAACCGTCAGGTTACTGGGGTTATTTCGAGTAGTACTCGAAATAACCCCAGAGTCTGAACCGTGAAAGATGAAGTCACGATTCAGACTCATGGTGCTCGTCGTTTTCTTAGACATGGCTGCGAAGAAGTCGCCAAAATACTCTGGCCCAACCGTGGCGTACACTCCCCGCTCTATAGAACAAATCAGTATATTATAAGAACATGGCTGACGGCGGCCGTTGAATGGGGTCCCATCTAGTAAATTGAAACCTGTTGGGTTCCTTCAAGAGTGTTGAGTTTCCCCTGTTCCCATCAAGCAATTTCCTCAAGAAATTTGGGGAAGTTGAATTCTTACAAGTTTCAAAAGTGAATTTAAGCGTTTTCTAGTCTTAGACATAACAACGAATTTTTAGGTCAGGTTAGACAATTTTAATTTTCTCCCTTTATATGAAAGTTTTTAAAGTTATGAATGTACGAACTTCATCTTACAAACTATTCAAACTGCTTGTGTGAGTAGATTCTATTAATCCTTGGTTAGAGAGAAACATATCATTTATGAATTATAAGCAAATTACGGCTAGTCTAAGGTGATTAAAAAACGACTCACATCGACGACTATACACCATCTCTAAGGTATCAATAGATCATATTCGTGGTTTATTAAGAGGAGCACAAATCTTTGACTGATTGCTAGAACATCGAGACAAGTCATTCTGTATGGTTACTCAACGTTTATCAGTGTCAAGTACTTTACTTGGGTTGGTACAATTTAAAATTTTTGATTGGCATGTCTGCTTACAAACATGATCGCTTGTCACATACGTTTAGTATAAGGTTCACACTTTGGTAGACTTTTGATGGTTCTATATTAGCTACACATGATGTAGTAAGAGATCTCGATTGAGTCACCTGATAGAAAGAGTGTACATTTTGTGTGATACATCCTTACATCAAGTACCAAGATTTGATTTGATCTTTACATCTAAGGGAAGCAAGAGGTTATTGTTCTAAACTTGGATATGAAGCATTGTTACGGATGCCATTAGACATCCTCGTCTGCACTACCTCCAAGATCTCAATAACATATTGGGAGATTAGAACTGCTGCCAGGATCTGCAACTATCAAGGATTACAAGAGATTACAAAAGAGGCACGTCTTTATTCCACTTGCTTTGGAAACGAACACATGCATTTTGTTGAGACTGAATACTTTACGAAATTGGGTGCAAGGATTCATATTTTATACATTTTATACAGTATAAAATAAGACTTACATATATGCTCCCTCTTCTTCCATAGCATGATTTCATGCTGAAACAACTCTGATTGAAGAGGTAAAAATCTTTATCTGATGATGATTTGTATAGAATTCTACTCATAAGTTGCATGCAAGAGCTGCAGTAAAAAGTAAAGCAAATAATGAAGGACCATATAACTATGACTCTCTCGAGTAGGGTTTGTTATGGTTCGCATAGTCGAGTTTTGAATGGTGTTGCACCATCGATTTTCCCATTTGGTTATACTGAGCACAATTGTTAGTAAACAATATCGTATTGGAACTCAATGGTCCTAATCTACGTACAAGAAACTGGCTCATGAACCACTTTTGGAAAACGTTCAATAAAATGGTGTTAAGCATTTCACCATTTTTTGAAAATGTTTAACAGTAATTGACAATCAAACCTCTATGGCTATGATGAAAGAACTGCAAATATTCTCGTTTCCCAGGAACGATGGGATTGTCAGAATCTGAAGCTCCCCTCGTACCTGCAAAAGTACATGAAGCAGTACTGAAACAATGTGGCACATGTTCGACCGACTACCTTCTTCTATACGCTAGAAGAATCAAATACTGTCTGGGTAAAAGTAACCTTAGCAATGACGTGAAACACACACGCACTCAACCAGAGGCCTGAGGTTTTCCGGAGCCAGATTTACCTGTACAGAAGCTACTCCCACGACTCGTCGCTAGATTCATTTTTGAATCCACATTCCATGATTGTCTCGGAGGGAGATCTTCAATTTAGTTTACGCTTCGAAGTTCGGACTGCTTAAATCGTAGCTGCAAAATTCCTTGACACCGTAATGCTGGTGGATGGAGTTGACCGACAGTATGAGGTCATTTACTGAACTCGCCTCCGATGGACCGCGTGACGACCAAGGTAACCTCGAAGTATTGACCTCGTGACCTGAGTCTGATTGAAAAGAAGTCAAACGGTACGATCATGGAAAATTTGCGACTGTAGCCAAACCATGGATATATATCCTGACCCTCAATGATCCGAGCTTTGTCTTCACTCTCTACAGACTTCGCCATTCTCTCGCTCTTACTTGCTGTATTCGCTTTAGCCTATCGCATCATTAGACGGACTTTTTGCGATAAAGAGGGCGTCGAGGTAGTACGTAGCTGTTGTTATCGATTATCACATCGCTCGATTTTAGTCGAATTCTCACTGAAAGGCATCCTTTCTGGGGGCCACGTATCGAGGTTGATCTGCGAGCGTAGGATTCCTGGCTTTAGATCGTAGATTCTGGAGTTATATGAGTATAAATTTCAGGAAATTTGATCATATTTAGACTTTATCTTATCTAATGGGGACACTGAAAGTTTCATACAACTCGGTATTGATGCTTGACGTGCAAAGTCGTACCCAAGGTTATTAGTATATTACATCTACCCCATACCTGTAGAAGTAAGAGATCCTCCATGGAAGATTCTTACATGAGGTTGAAAGCATAGCGATGAGGTCTACAACGAGATATCACTTTTTTAAAACACCTGTACAATGAATCGAATTAAATAGCAGGAGAAAAATTAACAAAAATTTCGGAGGAAATTTCACTGACTTTCAGTACCAGCTCAGTCCAAGGAGAAGCAGATACAACCGTTTTTGGAAGAATTATCAGTAGTATACCCTCGTATTACCCAATACAACTGTCAGCTGTTTTTCAGCTAGTTCATATATTTGAGATTCTAGATCGCTTTATAATCTCAAGAGCATTTAATTCAAAATAAAGTGAAAGAATAAGTTATTTTGAGGTAATTTCCACGTCGTTCATGATGGAGAAATCTATTCCAAATTCACTATAAGTGACAATTGTTCTGCCTTATCCTCCTAAGAGACGCCAAGAGGCTTGCTTGATTCAAATCAGCTATCACCTTGATTTCGAGGGAACAAGAATGAGCTTTCTTTCTGCGTCACAAATCGTCTGCTTGTGGTTAGAGTGTACTTCCATTTAAGTGCAATCTAGATCCAAATGCAGATGATGAGAGAAATGAACACAAGACCTCATTGTCTTGTTCAAAGTCGGTAGTGATTCTAGAGTTGGTAAGCGTTTGATCGTGAGATCATCTCGTGCGTTTTTGGAGCTATAGGAATGCGTTCGGATTTTTTAGATGGGCAGTTTTCTGCGTTCCGATCAATCAGGGTCAATGACTTCATCCAACTGCTACGATGTGATGCTGGGAGGAGCCCAAGCTGCATCAGAAAGACAACAAAGTTCCGAAAGCGAGGTGCTGAAAGTGATTTCGCGAGAGAGTCGCAACTGGATTCTGCTTCTATTTCCAAAATTGGCTCGCCTGAGATTGTGGGGGTCCCGCTATTAAATCTTTGTTCCAGAATCTTGCCCTTTGTGATCGACTCAGCATTAGTTCGGCGTACTCTTCACACCTCGAGAACTCAAGCAAGGTTTTCCCTTTTACGGCCCTTCATCTTGGACTTTTCCCTGTCGCTTGCTTCCCAACTCTCCGATTTTCATGGCAAGCAAGCACTAAACGAGAACATGATACAGGGCTGCATTTATCACACTATACCAGGTGGACAATGCAGCTGCCTGCTCAAAGATCGGCTTGCTAGATCGTAGGTAGCAGTGCTCACGACTTCAACTGTAACTGTAACCAGAGTCTGGAATCTCTCGGTTTGACTGCGTATATAGTTGGCGGGATTGGTGTGAGGATACAATTGTTCTCGGGGCTTGTAACTTGAAGTGACTGATGAAATCTAAAAGAATTCCCGAGATGGATTACCGAAATGGAAAGGTTTTGCGGGAAGCAATCTTGAGTATACTTCAGTACGAAGTAGTCGTAAGATACGAGTACTATCCTGATTGAGTTCTCATCTGAGAAAACATTGGTCATCCATCCGCCCACGGAGCACATGCAATCAACTCTACACAGATCGCAAGTGAACATGGAAAGTAAGCTCAACCTTGAAGCACTTATTTTCTGATCTGAAAGCATACTGCTCACTCACCAAAGAAGTAATTGCCCTACTCCTCATACGACCAAAAGGTTGCGACAACAGACTGAGACTTCCAAGTCTCTCCCTAATTGACCCAAACACAGATAATAAGCAGGTAAGATGCTCGAGAGTAAATAAGGTGAACATACCATGGGCAGTGATGATCTCGATGTTAAAGAGTTTTATAGGTCAAAAAAGGCAGATATTCTTCTCTTTGCTGCACACATGTGTGTGCGACTGACAGAAAACAGAATGAGCAGGCAGAGTATGAGAAAGGAACGTGAACGCCAGCAGCTTCCCCGACTTACGTACTACATAAACGGAAGTAAGTTGATTAAGTTGACGGGTCATGACATTTGTCACGAATTTCTCAAGAGCTCAGAGGTCCTGTTTGAAGCCGCAAGGCAGAACTAAAATTCTCATCATTCCAAAGCACAGGTTCATGATAAGGATACAACCTACAATCTTGAAGAAATCTAGGATGCCCACTCAGCACTTCATCACCAGGATTCAGTTCACTAGCTTCTGATTTAAGACCAGCTCTGTTAACAAAAGACTCTGAACACGAGTAGACGTCCTGGTTAATTTCCTGATCTCAGTCTACAAGAAACAGAGAGGCTCAGTCTCTGCTATCATCAACTAACGAAACTGGAAGCTCGAACAAAATTTATGAGGTCCAAAGTGTAGAGTTAGAACAAAAAACCTGCAGGCAAACTATACACATTCAACACTGGCAATCACTTAAGAGAGCAACCTACCTGATGTCGTCTTCAAGTCTGGTCCGATATCCTCCGCAACAAAAGAAAGAACAGAAGACATTGTACAAGAGCTTTGGGAAACATTATAAGGACCAACTCCTTCCTGGTAAACCTTCTTGACTAGCGAGAGTCTCCAAGTGACTCAACTTTACCTTTAGCCTGCAAAGTCTGTGATGAATACCTTTAGCCCTGCCCAGCAAATGATATCTTTGAGATGAAAGGATAATTGAAGGAGGTACTTCCATCTTTCATACTTAACCGTAAGGTATAATCTGTTTCAAAACTGATGCATATGTGTACCTTCGTTCTTAATTCACTTGCGAAGCGTGGGCCACCAGACACAAGGAAAGACAAAAGAATTCACTCCGACAACGGTGTAGTCACAATAGCAAATGCAATATATTGCGTGGCTCTGCTGTGGTGGTTACATAAGAATGCCGTTCTAATCTAGTTCTCGTATCTGAGGTTCAAAACCCCTGCAACATAAAAGTGCAAAGATGAAACGTAAATCTCTGTACTTTCTCCATCGTTGTATCTTACTCACAGTCCTGAAGATGATTGAGAGCGGAAGCCTGCACGGCTACTTTCTCACACTTGGTCCACCTAAATTGGTCCACCTAATTTGAACATTGTCCTCTTTCGTGTGCTCTTGTTCGGAAATTAAAAGCTTTCACCTTCCAAGGTTCTAGAAATCGGGCATATCATCCCACTCCTGACGTTCGTACGCTTCCCCTGAATTTGCCGCTGGCGTGCGGCCTGAATAATGGGTCTAATTTTTCTCCAATGATCTCGCACGAGATCTCCTTAATGTCAAGTACGATACTCGCTTCTTCGCTTCTTCTAGAACCTAAATCCGACCTCCAAACTCTCACAACTGATTCAAGATTCCCATCCCTTCTGCTCTCCAGAACGCATCGATGACCGCCGATGTACGTACACTCTTTGGCTGAGATTGCTCGTTGCTCTCTACTTCGCTCAGCCAGTCAAAATTTTCTCCGAAAAGCCTCATTGTCGCTCTCCAGAAGTCATCGAATGACCATAAGCGGCGCTATCCAAAATTTGACAGAGAGAACCATTCATTATGGCTCCAGCAACTGACGTCCAAAATTTCGCTCAGGTGGGTCGGCCTTATACCTTCGTCGTCTTCGTCGTCGCGTCTCGAGTGATCCAGCTCTCTAAACGTAGACTCTCTCGAGGCTCCAAACGCTCCGGTACTCAGCCTCCCAGCATGAGGCTTACATGAACCTCACTACAAAACTTTTTTCCCCTTATGTACTCTCGAAAGTACTTGCAGTCACACACCACACTTCACGTACTCCACTCCCCAACTCCTCCTCGACCGCCAGCAGACGATGCAGCAGAAGATGAAGGTGTCCATCCGGACTCGGCTCAAGCCTCCGCCCTCCTCCGCCCAGTACCCGAAATCAGCTCTTCCTTCGGTGTTTCAATTCTTCCAGCTGATGAATCCATCACTTCGCGATGGATGGTCGCTAAGCTCGGCCTCAGCTCTCTCCATGGCTCCAAATCTCCTCGTCATTCTGTTCGTGGCCAGCTTAGCTCATACTTCGGGTACCGAGTCCAAATCTCGTGGCCTGAGCAACGCCGACACATCTCTCTGAACTCCGGTTCTACAATCATGCTCTTCTCTCGGCCCGGCGCAACGCCGCAGGGCTGCTCTGATGAACCTGGTGTACACACAGCTGATTCTTCTCGATTGAAAAAAGTGAACGATCGCAGCTGATTACTGAGGAAAATCTCGTTCAGCCCTCCAGGTTCTGCGCAGCCAATGCGCCGGGACGTGGCTCTGTCCTCGACTGTATTATTACCGGAGCCCTCGGAGCTCGTGTACCGACTTCTCTCCCGGCGGACCTCCATCACCATCGCCGTCGTCCATCCTCACTCCTCCACTCGTTCTCGGGGTTTATAAACAGAGCCGCAGGAATTATACAGTATGTATAAATAAATACTTCACCCTACCACGTACAAACGAACTGCGTACCATCACCACGATTCCTCCTCCCGTGATCCTCATGGGACCGACCGATCTCGGCCGAGTTCCATTCGGAGTCGTCCCACGGTGGCACTCATCGTCCTTGTCCTCGTCCTCGTCCTCCCGTTCACTCTCTTCGGTCGGGCTCGGTCGCCTCGCGCTAGCGCAACCACGTCCATACAGACATTCGAACCACGGTTACCTCCACGACTGCGCGGTCGGCAGCAAACCTCTCGGTTTAGCTGGCCTTCGTGATCGAGGGATGACCGAAGGAATTCCAGAGGAGGGCGCCCTCGATGACGACACTCTGGGCCGTCGTTCGAGACGAAGAAGCGGCAGACGATTCGGTGAGAAATCTCGGCTGCTGCATCGCTCGTTCGATTGGACCTCAGAGTAATTCGTACATGAGGGGCGGACAATTTCACATGAAATGCTCGGAATCGATTTTGCTACTTACTGTGACATCCTGGCGCCCTTCCGAGGGAGGTGTCAGTGATGCACCGACTGACAGATAGGTTGGTATGTATGTAGATACAGCTGCCTTCGAGCATCCCAAGCTTTAAGCGCTGAAGTGTAGAAAGCGAGATGGGGGCGATCAGGGAGACGATGGTGATGATGATCAGCAGGAAGGGCGAGGCAGGCCGGAGCTCGACGAGATGTACAAGTTTGTCGACAGGATGCTCTGGCCGGTGCCCGTCCTTCCTCGTTCTCCAAGTCGCGCCGCCAGGTCGCGGTCGTTTCGTCTAGTGATGGGGCTACCCGAAGCGGACGAGACTCGAGCGCCACCGCCATCGTCCTCGAGGCGGCGGCGGTGGCGCCCGGAGCCTCATCGTCAGTCAGTGGTGAGACATCTCGGCCTCCCGCTGGAAATTGATCAGGTGCGTGTTGATCACCATTTTCAGGAGCGAGAACAGCACTGACAGGCGAGTGATCACCTCGTAGCACGCTGTAATGTTCAACATGATGAAAGACGGACTGCTAACCTCGGAACCGAGACCGGCTGGCAAATCTCTACCGAAAGGATCGACGAATGTAGATAGGAATGACCCGTAGAAATCACTGGGCCTGAGATTGAGAGGTATGACAGAGAGAGAGAGAGGGGAAGAGGGAGAGAATGAGAGAGAGGGAGGGAGAGAAGGAGAGGAAGGAATGAAAGGAGGAAGAAGATTTGAGGTTGGCAGCAGACGATAGATAGACAGTGAAGGAAACTTTAATTTTCTCTCGGCTCTAGGAGTGGCGAGGGGAGGAGGGGCGCGGATCGAAGTGTCGGTGTGAGATAGAGTTTGAACCTGAGCACTCTTGTTGGACTCCGAGGAATAACGAGGGGGGAGTGAGGTTTAAGAAAGGAACGCTTTTCCATGGCCGCACAGCCCAGGACGTCTCCTCGGGAATCGTTTACTCTGACAGCGAATCAAGGAGGAAATTCCGTTGTCGATGCATATGATTAGGTAGCCCAAAAATACAAGCTTTTCAGTGAAGAATATATTTGGAGTCTACAATACACAACGATCGAGATGGAGATGCAGATGGAGATGCAGCGCAGGAAGGACAGTCCCGGGTCCACCTCCTACTGCCTGGGCTACCATCGCCGGTGTCCACATACTTTCGCGCTCCAGACCCTCACTGTGACGGTTCTGCTCCACGAGAAGTGTCAAGTACAGCAACCCCCATCCGATCAAGGATCCCTTCCCTTCCCTTCTCTTCTCCTTCGATCTGTCGCGACAGTGTCCGGATCCGTCTGTGTGACGCTAAGAAACTGTACGATGATTGAAGGCTTGATGCTTTTTCATCCCCCAAAGCCCCGAGATCAGTTAAACTTAGAAAGACTCAAATATTGGTCCGATGTGCATATTCATACACAAACCTCTTCCTATGCTGATAAACTGCATTAGCTTTACTCAGCGGCTTCGGCTGCGCATGGTAGCTTCCCATTCCAGGTCAAACTAGTGAGACGCAGCCTTGGGGGAAAGGAAAAAAAATCCCTCAGATCGTCCGGTTTGTATAATTAATGTCGAACAGTGAAATCTGGATCTGGACAGGTTTGTCGGACCTTCAGAGTGATGCATCTGAATTTGAAGGGAATCTGCACCTGCCCCTGCCTCTTCCCGAGTGCTCGGCGAAGTATGATGATGAAGGCAGCGACGGCAGTGGTTCCCTGGGCGAAATGGGATATAATTTCGAGAGAGGAAATGGCAGAGATCGGTATTTTAAAAGTGTGTGATTAGTTTGGACGACACTTTTCTTCTGGGGCTTTCCCGTACCGGAGCCGAATCCTCGGCGTTTGCGCCGGAGGATGAGGATTTCGTGTGCGGATCCGCGCAGTCCTCTCTCGGGCTACGTCGCGACCGAGTGCGGTTGAGGTTTTGCGCATCGCAAGATGAGGTTGTGGAGACGATGGATTTTCTATCTAAATCCTTTAATCCTCATCTACAAATTAATCCAGACGCACATGCTTGGGATTCGAGATGAAGTTTGTCCAGAAAGCGAACCGCTCAGTGCCTGAGCCCTCCTCATCCATCATCCAAACAAAGTTGTATTATTCAATCTCGAAGGGAAGGTACCGACTCTGGATCTTATCTCCGCCATGCGACCTCCACGCCGGCGTGGTTCGACGCAACGTCACGAGTGTCGTTACCGGGGGGCGCTCACAGCACAGGGATTCGGTTGCCCGATCGCGAGCTGATGGTCTCATTACCCTCTCGATCCCCCACGATCTTCGACTGAAGAGCAAGGGCAGCCAATCTGAGAAACTCTCTCAACTGTGCACGTTCTCCTTCGTACAAAGATCAGGCTTATAATCAGCAGCCCCGGGCCAGGCTCACTGTCGTCACAGATGCTCCCCCTTTGACTCTTTCGCTCGGCCACTCGACTGTTGTGGCGCTGAAACAACCAGCCCCGGCCTTGGCTTTGTTTGTCTTTTGTCCTTTCATGGAACCTTACGATTAGGAGTGACTTTTGTAATCCCACACAAGCCCCTTGCCAGAAGGCGTGACGTAAAGCTGCCTTTGGCTCCAGTTAACTTTGACAATATATCATTTTGCACGTACCCACCCTGGAGCAAATCCCAAGTGTCGAATTTCAAGTCCACTCATATTGGTCTGTTCGATCATTGTCTAACTCTTGCATATTTAATTCCCTTTCGCCTTACTAATCGAGGTTTCCCCTTACTAGTCGAGGTTTTTTCCACATACTCAGACTTATATACAGAAGAACATATATAGTCCGTTTGAGGCCCTCAGACAATATTATATTACAATTTGACGGAGGATATGCAGAGAGGAGTCCTTGGAAATAATCAGGTCTCTTTCACATGACAGAGAGTCCATAGGCTAATGTTTTTCCAAATACTTTAGCTATATACACAAATGCATATACAGTAAGATTGAAGCCTCTGGTATCCAGTTCTTAGCCGAGATATGCTTCGAGGAGTGTCCTCTTGGGGAGTGGTTTAATTCATAGTCAAGTTCTTTTGAAAGTGCGTTACACCATTGACCTACTTCGACCTCAGCGACCTGCTAACTGCGCACAGCCCTGGCATTCAGGCGAGGTTGGAGCCAGGGTCTTGCTACACTCCGACATTGAGTTTTTTATAAGTCTCATGAGATTAAAAAAAATACACCAAAATGTTCGGTATGAGCAGAGAGCATGGTGAGATAGACATGTTTTTGAGACAACACTGAGTTCTCGTGAAGAGAGACTACGGTTGTCCCAGTTGAAGGTCTGGTCCAGTGTAAGACTGGATGATACGACACACAGTGATTATTCGATCATTAGCGTGAGCAAAACAACAAGGGTGAGGGTATATATTCTCATCTCCTTGTGGGAACTATCGATGGGATATCTTGGGCAGAACATAGTCAAGGTTAGGCTGCCATGATTCCTGGGAAGCACGGTTTTTCTTAGACAAACTACCGTGTTGAAGACTCAAGGAGAAGATTCCGTTTGGGACCTCGTTGCCTAGTGTCCTAACAATTCCAAGCTCCCTAAGAAAGCCAATCAAAAACTCTAAGAGATCCAAAGCTCGAGATTCACTCAAGGGAAACCAGTCCTTTACGCAACGAGGTAAGGTGCTAGTTGCATCACAGTGACTGCTGACATAAGACGAACTACAGCAGATCTAGATAGAACTCCAATCACATCGGAGTACTTGTCAACAGACCGTTACACACCGACCCGGGATTCCGAACCGCATCCTTCCAGACCATCACTGGGAATCGATCGGTACAGTCCACTTCAGTGAGAAACACCTTCGTAGGCAACCGAGTCAAAACATATAATGACTCAGCGGATGCTATCTAGCTAATCATGAGTCAGTCAGGACCCAGGGAATTTTCAGTCATTTTGCAGCACCACAGAACAGGAAAAAATGATCAAAAATCACAGAGCTAGATGAGAAGGTGAGGAGGAAGGACGCTAAGTGATAACTTAGAAGCAAAATTGATTCGTGATCGAGTGGTCGTTAACAAAATCATTTACTCAGTGGAAAGAGCCACCTCGTATAGCGCTAGAAGAAGCCAGTAGTGAGCGAAAAAGGCAGAACACGAACACACACACACAACAGTGAGATGAGAAGTAGCAAGTCCAAAGTAAACTATCAAAAAGGATGAGAAGACTTCATCAAGTCCTACATGGATGGAACCAACCGAGTAGCATAGAGCTATCCCCCAATAGCATCACCGGGAAATATGTCCTAAGATATCTCAACTACCTATGTCAAACAGTTACAGTCGACATGATTGCTCTCTGATGTGCTGTGTATGAGAAGCTACTCCATCTGTTACTGAGTACGTAAACTGACTCAGCTTGTAGTATCTAGGTGTCAAACGCTGCAGAATTTCCAGTCATTTGGCATGAGTGAGTCGAAAGAGGAGGCGAAACACACAAACACACACACACAACAGATCTAGATGAGAGAGTGAGAAGCAAGTTCTCATAGTGACTACTTGTAAGCAATCGCGAGGTGAGTCAGAAACACCTACATGGACTACACAGTGAGTACGTACATTGACTTAGCTGTTGCTACTAACAAGTCAGACCGTTTGGAACTCCCTGTCAGGCACCAATAAACCAAACACAATCATGAAAATTCTCTCTTTCTCTCTCTCCCACACAAAAAAAACACACACACACACACAGATCATGACTGACATACGTAGATGAGAAAGGGGGAAGGAAGGTCGCGAAGAGAGAACTTAGAAGCAAAGTTGTTGGGTGATGGCGTGGTGATTGACAACATGGTCTAGTAGGTGAAGGAGTCACGGAGGAAAGCTTCAACACGATTGTCAGAGGCTACTGCATACGAAGTCGTACCAGCAGCGACGGAAAGAGGGATGGGAAAGGACGAGAGAAGAGGGACGGGACTGTTTTCCTGGTGACTTCAGAGGAGGTGCAGTACTTGAGCACGTGATCGTCCTGCATGATTGGAACTGTGATCCGTGAAAGATATGCGAAGCAAAAGACAAGGAGACGCGGCGTAACTACGACGTTCTCGGATATGTCAAACTGTTGAGTGAGATTTGAGGATCACAGCTGCAGCTCTCGAGTCTAGCAACAGTCTGCATGACCCGAAAATTGGGGTGGGCTGGGAAAGGCGAGGATGTGCTTCTTCTATAACCTGGGAGGGGCCTGGGACCAGCGCTGGCTAGCTGGCTGGCTGCCAGGAGCTCAGCATGCTGCAGCTTGACTGCTAATCCGATGCAGATTCAGCTCAGACCCGAGTGTTGTTAACCTTAGCAGGTCTCGCAAGTCAACCCGAATGTGGGCAACTTCCTGCGCTGCATGCTCTCTCGCCTTTAATTGGCGAATTGGCAACTGAGCTTCAAGTGGTTCCGGCCGCTGTTCAATCAGTCGCAACATCAGCCCAGGGACTTCGTTTCTATTGTTACACCATGGCTGGCTCACGCATTTCGCCTCCGGACCCTCCAGCTCCTTCAAGTCCCGAACATGGAACCCACGGTGCTCCTGAGGTCAAAACAGTGCCCGCCCTGGCCCTTCTCTGGCTCTCCAAACGCCATCCCAAAGGTCCTCGGAGCTTCGTCGAGCTGCAAGAGGCCAAGAGCCTCGTACAAGGTCTCTCTGTCGACCTCCTCGGTCCTTCCATGGGTCAGGTCAAGCTAAACGTTGATCACGTTACCCTGGCTACGAACCGCTTGCAGCAGTCGCAGACTTTTTGCACTGATCACGCTCGTCTCCTCCCCTCTCCTCTCCTCGCTGTGAAATGATGAGGCTGAGCAAAACACGGTGTCATTTCTCGATTGTTTTGCGTAACTTCGGTCGGATTTCTAGCATGGCCTACCCGTTTATGGCCGATTACGTGCGTGCATGCCGCTCAACTTCTGCCATCGATTGAGCTTCTGGCTGAAGCTCTTTCTTCCAGACTCTGCCCGTTACAGAGTGCATCAGCAATATAAGACCCTCTGTCGTCACTGGGTGTGCACCAGTTGCGTTTCAGGCATCAGAAAGAACGTCAAGCCCACTGGCCAGTCTGGGATAGATGGCCTTTCTTCATGGCCTGGCCCGAGTCCAGCAATCATCGATAGAACAAGATACGTCAGTTTCGTGTGATGAGTATTTTCAGTAATCTACAGTTTTCCATCAACATTTGGACTTTGCTTGAATTCTGTCTTGATTACTTCGACAGCTGTCTCAGATATTCG